CCTGGCTCCCCCTCAGACCCTGCTGGCCCCAGCCTGCTTCACCCCCATCCCAAGCCCTGGGATTGGGACTGGAGGCTATAATCCTTTCCTCTGCTTTCAGCCTGAGCCCCTCCCCACTCCTACCCTCACTATCCCCTCCTCCCAGGGCCAGGACCCAGACACTGAGACAACTGGGACCTGGGAAAGGGGAGGGGGCAGGGGAGCAGGGCAAAGTTGGGGGGGGTCAGACCCGCCCCTTTCCCAGTCTCCAGAATCCTGTCCAGAGCATCAGACCCAGGCCTGCTGCCTTTCAAATGTATCCCATGAGAGAAGATCAAGGGGGAGTTGGGGCATCTGCTCCCCAAGCCCATCTCTGGGGATCCAGAGCCTGGACAGGAGCGCCTTGGAGTCTAGTTTGGAGGTCCTGGGGAGGGGTACAGAGCCCCCACTTGCTTAGCAGAAATGCTGTCCCAGGTGCAGAGCAAGGGCTGGAGGGGGAGGGGGAGGACCTCATTCCATTACCTCAGTCACAGCCCCAGCAGCCCCTCACCGTTCATAGTGTTGCTTTCCAAAGCTGTTTTCACTATTCTTACTGGGACAATGGGTTGGGGCCACCAGGAGCCTTGAGGCCGCCAGCCAGGGGGAGGTGGGGGACCAGGCCTCCACCCACCCCATCCAAAAGAGAAGAAATAAAGCCAAGGCTTCCCTTCCCTTGCTAGATTGATCACCCAAAACGTTCAGGAAGGGGAGTTTCAGCCAGGTGCTCGTGCTTCACACCTGTAATTCTAGCAGTTTGACAAAGCCAGCCCAGCCAAATAGTTTGCAAGACCCTATCTTGAAAATGCCCAACACAAAACAGGGCTGGTAGAGCAGCTACCTAGCAAGTGTGAAGCCCTGAATTCAAACCCCAGTACCACAAAAAAATAAAGAAGAAAAGAAAAAGCTTTGCCAAACAAGCTTGCGACTCAAATGAGTCGGCTTTTGAGACTTGCTATTTCTCTGGGGCCCCTATTCACAGAGGTCAAGGCTTCTATCAATAAAGCAGAACTTCCAGAGAGATGAGAGAGGTTCCTGGAAGTATAGAGGGTAAATGTGAGGGGCAGGGTCTAGGTGTGCAGGACAGGGGCACACCGGTGAGGCCCTCACTCTTTTCTACCAGCTTTTTGTGTCAGACTCTGCCCTGCCTGGTTTAGGCTGCCCTTCATCCTCGGCCAATTTGGTCAGCAGCTTCTCTGGCCCATCCCACCTCCCCATAAACCCACAGGCCACTGGCTCTCTCAGCTCAGCCTCCTCCTCCCAGGCAGGCCACCTGGCCAAGGGACTGCCATGGAAATGACAGCTTGCAGCCTCCCGACTGCCCCTTCCTCCTCTAGGCCTGCCTCTCTGTCCCTGGGTTTCTTTTTTTTTTTTTTCATTTTTCTTTTATTATTCATATGTGCATACAAGGCTTGGTTCATTTCTCCCCCCTGCCCCCACCCCCTCCCTTACCACCCACTCCACCCCCTCCCGCTCCCCCCCCCTCAATACCCAGCAGAAACTATTTTGCCCTTATCTCTAATTTTGTTGTAGAGAGAGTATAAGCAATAATAGGAAGGAACAAGGGGTTTTGCTGGTTGAGATAAGGATAGCTATACAGGGCATTGACTCACATTGATTTCCTGTGAGTGGGTGTTACCTTCTAGGTTAATTCTTTTTGATCTAACCTTTTCTCTAGTTCCTGGTCCCCTTTTCCTATTGGCCTCAGTTGCTTTAAGGTATCTGCTTTAGTTTCTCTGCGTTAAGGGCAACAAATGCTAGCTAGTTTTTTTGGTGTCTTACCTATCCTCACCCCTCCCTTGTGTGCTCTCACTTTTATCATGTGCTCAAAGTCCAATCCCCTTGTTGTGTTTGCCCTTGATCTAATGTCCACATATGAGGGAGAACATACGATTTTTGGTCTTTTGGGCCAGGCTAACCTCACTCAGAATGATGTTCTCCAATTCCATCCATTTACCAGCGAATGATAACATTTCGTTCTTCTTCATGGCTGCATAAAATTCCATTGTGTATAGATACCACATTTTCTTAATCCATTCGTCAGTGCTGGGGCATCTTGGCTGTTTCCATAACTTGGCTATTGTGAATAGTGCCGCAATAAACATTGTCCCTGGGTTTCTGATGAGAGTTCCCACCCCTCTGCAGAGGGACCTCATGAGTCAGAGTAGCCTGGACAGGGAAAGGCACACAGGGCCTCAGGCCAGGGAGACTAGGTCCAAATCACTCACTAGCTGTGTGTTCTTAGATAGGCAAATTGACCTCTCTGAGCCTGCTTCATCTGAAAATGGGGGTGCATTTGTGATAGAAACACTTTCCTCTGTGACTGAGAGGTCAGATATAATGAAGTAAGGGCTCAACAGATATAATGAGGTGAGGTGTGTGTGGCTCACATGGGGTTTTTTGTTTTTGTTTTGCGATACTGGGGATTGAACCCAGGGTGTCATGCATGAGTGTTCTACTACTTGAGCCATGCCTCCAATCCTGTTGTTTGTATTTTGTTTTTGAGACAGGATCCTGCTAAATTTTACTCTGAGTGGTCTTGAACTCTCAATCCTCTTGCCTCTGCCTTCTGAATAGCTACACCTGGATTATCTGAATATGTTTTTGTACTGGGGTTTGAACTCAGGGCCTCATACTTGCTAAGCAAGCACTGTTCCACTTGAACCACTCTGCCAGCCCTTTTTTGGGTTCAGTATTTTTGATTTAGAGTCTCTTGAATTATTTGCCCTGACTGGCCTCGAACTGAGATCCTCCTGATTGCTGCCTTCTGAGAAGCTAAGGTTACAGGTTTGAGCCACTGGTGCCCAGCTATGAATATGTTTTGATATTTGATTATGATCCCTGCTAGTGACTGAATCATGGCCTCCTCCTGAAATTAATACATTGAAGTCCTTAATTCCTAGTATGACTGTATTTGGAGGTAGAGCTTTTAGGAGCTAAGGTTAAATGAGGTTATAAGGTGAAATCTTAATGTGCTAGGATTTGAAGCCTTCGAAGAAGAGGGAGAAATCTCTTCCTACGCATGCACCAAGGCCACAGGACACAGCAGCATCACTTTCCAGCCCCCCACCCCGGTCCTTTCCTTGATCTTGGACTTTCTAGCCTCCAGAGCAGTGAGAAATAAGTTCCTGTTGTTTAAGCCACCCAGTCTCAAACCCCAGTTGTTATGGCTGGGCTCACACTCAGGGCTTCACACTTGCTAGCCAGGTGCTCTACTACTTGAGCCACCCCTCCAGCCCTTTTTGCTCTGGTTATTTTGGAGATGGGGTCTCACTTTTTGCCCGGGTCTGCCTGGACCTTGATCAATGGCTTTTTGCCATTGATGGGATGACAGACATGCGCCACCATGCCCAGCTTTTTTCTGTTGAGATGAGGGTAATGAAAACCTTTTGCCCAGGTTGGCCTCATTGATATGAGATCCTCCGGATGTCAGCCTCCAGAGTAGCTTGGAATGACTGACACCCGGCATTATTTTTAAAATTATTTTACAGTGTGTGTGTGTGTGTGTGTGTCTGTATGTGTGTGCTGGGGATCAAACCAGTCCCTTGTACATGCGAGGCACGTGGTCTACCATCAAGCTAGACCCTCACCCTGCAGTTTATTTTAGAACATTTTCATTACCCCAAGAAGAAACCTAGTACCCATTAATTTTCACTTCTCATCTTCCCCCTCTCAGCTTCTGGCAACCACCATTCTACTTTTGTTTCTAGGAAGTTGACTTCTCTAGGCACCTCCTAGAAGTGGACTTGTGGACTTGTGAGGGGAGCAAATAACAGAAGTGACTGTCTTAGATAAAGGAGACAGGAAGGCATCCTTAAAAGTAAACATCTAAGGAGATATGAGGAGCAGGCTCCTCTGAGGAGTGAAGCAGGACTCTCACCAAGATAATGAAATACAGCTGTCTTATCCTAGATAAGGGAGGCAGGAAAACATCTTTGAAAACAAACATCTACAGAGATGAGAAGCAGGCGCCTCAAGAAAAGTAACACAGCAAACCTCCCACCAAGATAGCAAACGGTAGCTATAGGTATAAATGGTGGGCCTCAAGGCCAAGGGAGCTGACCAGACCCTCCCGGAATTTCCAGTTCGATAAGGAGAGGGGTGGCCAGCTGGTCGAAGTCAACTAGATGACATCCAATCTCAAATGCAGTTTCAAGGTAGAAGAGGTGACCTACGTCAGGCAGAGTCTTCTATCACTCCTACACTTAAACTATACTAAGGTGTAGCTTTGTTTCACTAAGTCCCCCCATGCAGGGAGCTTTTCTGTCCTTTCAATAAACGTTGTGCTTGCTTAACTCTTAACTACTGGTCTGGCATCTTTTGCCAAGCACAAACTTGGGATCAGCAATCCAGTATCAGCCTCATATATTTGTCTGGCTCATTTCACTTCAAGGTTCATCCCTGCAACAGCTTGTAACAAAACTCCATTATTTTTATATGCCTGAAAAATATTTCATTGTATGGAATATTTTGTTCATGTATTCATGAGATATTGACATTTGGATAGCTTATAGTTTGTCTGTTGTGAACATTCACGTGTAAGGTTTTTTTTGTTTTGTTTTGTGGTATTGGGGTTTGAACTCAGGGCCTCATGCTTGCTATGCAGGTGCTCTACCACTTCAGCCACTCTGCCAGCCCTTTTCTTTTTGTGATGGATTTTTTTCAAGATAGGGTCTCAGGAACTATTTCCCCGGGCTGGCTTCAAACCACAATCCTCCTGATCTCTGCCTCTTTAGTAGCTAGGATTACAGGCTTGAGCCACCTGTGCCTGGCTCATGTGTAAGTTTTTGTATGCCCATGTTTTCCGTTCCCTGGGGAACTGTCAAACTCTTACCCAAAACCACTGCAGCATTTACATTCCAAGCACTTTTTATTTCTTCTGGTACTGGGAGTTGAACCCAGAGTCTTGCGCATGCCAGGCAAGTGCTCTGTCACTAATTACACGCCCCCCCCCAGCCCTTTTACAATTTATTTTGGGGCTGAGTTTCACTATGTAACCCAGGCTGGTCTTGAACTGTGATCCTCCTGCCTCTGCTTCCTGAATACTGGAATTACAAGCATATACCACCATGCCCAGCTAACATTTAACTTTTTGTAGGTTCCAAGACCTTTTGAGAATTTGATTAAAGTTTCCTCTGCGGTACTGGAAAGAAAAAGAAAAACTGTATTATGACTGGGGTCATGACTCATGTGGCAATCGCAAGGCTCTGAGTTTAATCCCTAGCACTGCAAAAAATCAAACAAACATACCTCAGAGGGCAGACCCCATACCCTGAACGTTTGCAGACAGACCCATGCCCCAGTGAGGCAGCCCAGCCCCATCCTGTGCTGCAGAGCACCTAGTAACCTTGACGCTCAAGAAATGCTGTTTGCTGGTGGAGTGGCTCTCATGCTTATTAGCATGAGAGCCTGAGTTCAAATCCTGGTACCCCCAAAAAAGAAAAAAATATGCTGGAAGGATTGATTTGCTCAGTGCTGCCCCTCTTTTTCCCCTTCATAACATCTGAGTTTTGGCCAACCCCAACCAGGCCTCAGGATGCATCTGAGCTTTCACAGCCTCCCCAGGGTTTTCTGGCATAGATTCTCTGCAGTCCCAGCGCGTCCCCCTGGGACCCCCACAGCACACCTGGGCCACTTTCTCCTTCTCAGCCTCACATCAAGCTCTGCATCTCACTCCCACCTGTTTCTCCTGGCTCTGTCCCCTGATTCTGTGCTTGGCAGAATCAGGTCCCTGGATGCACCCACATCCTAATCATCGGGGCCCAGGAGCTAGGTTACATGGCCTGGGGAATCAAGGTCACTAATCAGTTGGTCTTAAACTAAGATTTTTCAGGACTATTTCAAGGGGCCCAATGGTATCCACAAAGATCCTTCAAAGTGGAAAGGAGAGGCAAAGGACAGTAGAGGAACATGTGACCACGAAAAAAAGTCACAGTGGCATAAAGTGTGAAGGCATCTACCTCATATTACTGTCTCTGAAGATGAAGGATGGGGCTGGTGGAGTGGCTCAAACAGTAAAAATGCCTGCCTACCAAGCATGAGGCCCTGAATCCTGAGTTTAAATTCCAGTGCTGCCAAAAAAAAAAAAAAGAGAGAGAAGTTAAAGGATGAAGATCACAGCCAAAGCACACAATACTCTCTAGAAACCAGAGAAGGCCAGGAAACACATTCTCCTCCAGAAGGGAATGTAGCCCTGCCCACACTAGCGTTCAGCCTAGTGATGCCCCCATCAGACATCTGACCTACAGTTGTGAGATAATAATGAGCCTGTTTGAAGCCATTATATTTGCTACAGCAGACATAAGAAACTAATATACCACTGGGCACTGGTGGCTCACACCTGTAATCCTAGCTACTCAGGAGGCAGAGATCAGGAGGATCACAGTTCAAAGCCAGCCTGGGCAAATAGTTTGTGAGACCCTATCTCAAGAAAACTCATCACAAGAAAAGGGTTGGTGGCGTGGCTCAGGTTTAGGCCCTAAGTTCAAGCCCCAGTACCACAAAAAAAAAAAAAAAAAAAGAAAAGAAAGAAACTAATACAGCATTCATGTCTACATACAATTCCTGATACTGTTACTATATTCATGCCCCCCTTACTTGTTTGTTGTTTTTTTTCCCCTTGCTTGTTTTATATTGTTTTTTATTTTCTTCTGTTGTGGTGGTGGTTTTGTTGTACTGGAGTTTGAACTCAGGGCCTTGTGCTTGCTAGGCTGGAACTCTACTACTTGAGCCACACCATATCCCCAGCCCAACCTAGTTGCTTTTCATGTGTTTCCTCCACTGGGCTGACAGCTCCATGATGGCAGGGACTTTGTTGTGTCCCCTGGTATATGGCTAAAGCCCAGAGCAGAGTCTACCACATGACAGGCTTGCAAGTAATATTGGCTAAGAGAGAGGGCTGGAGGTGTGCCTCAAGTAGTGGAGTACCTGCTTAGTAAGTACAAGGCCCTGAGTTCAAACCCTAGTACCAAAAGGAAAAAGAAAAAAGGTAAGCAAGAAAGAAAGTCAGCTAGGTATGGTGACACATACCTGTAATTTCAGCACTCAGGAGGCTAAGACAGGAGGGGCATGAGATAAAGGCAATCCTGGGTTACACAGCAAGTTGGAGGCCAGTCTGAGCTACATCGTCAGACCTGTGTCAAACAAACAAACAAACAAAAAAGAAACAACAAAGCCAACTGGTTGTATATACCTGTACCCAGAACTCTCTCACTTTGGTCCTTGTTCCTTTCCTTTCGTTTTTTTTTTGCAGTGCTGGAGATTGAACCCAGGGCCTTGCTAGGAAAATGCTTTACCACTGAACTTCACTTCTAGCACACCCCTGTCCTGAGTTCCAACGACACTGCCCCAATGTTGGCGTGCACTCTACACTCTCTTTTGAAGGCTGCCTCTAGCTCAGTCATAACCTGGAACAAAGTGTCAACTCCAAAAGCTCTGAGAAGGCTGTGCAGGACCCCGCCTCACCAGCCAGTCCCTACTCCCCACCTATTCACCACCCTGCTCAGCTGGGCTAACACATTTTCAAGTAAACCCAGAACATCATGTCATTTCAAACTTACATACTTATATGTGTCTTTAAACTTAAATTATGAGCTTTTACCTCCAAAACCCTAATGTCATTATTATAGCTAACAAAATTAACAATTCTTTAATATCATCTGACACCAAATCCATAATCAGATTTCACTGTCTCAAAAAAATTTTTTTTTTTTCTATGCTGGGAATTGAACCCTTCCGCATGCTAGACAAGTGTTCTACTGCTGAGCTATACCCCTGAGCCCTCAAAAATCTTTTACTGTTTTTTTTCTTTTCCCTCCCCCACTTTTCTTCTTTGCTTTCCTTCTTTTTCTCTTCCCTTTTCTTCTCTTCTTTCATTTTTTTCAATCAAGGTCCATTGGTTACATTTGGTTGTTAATTCTGTTAAGGATCTAATTGGGTTGGCAGAGTGGCTCCAGTGGAAGAGCACCTGCCTATCGTGAGTTCAAACCCCAGTACCACTTATTAAAAAAAAAAAAAAAGGATATAATCAAAAGCAAACAATATTCCCCCATCCCCTACCAGATAAATCACTGAGCAGTTGAAGAGACTAGGTGAATGTTCCACTAGAATCTCCTGCACTCTGGACCTGTGTGCTGGCTTGCTTGGGTGTAAATTCACTCCTGTACAAATGGGTGCTGGCTCTAGAAGCTGGGTTTAGTCAGGTTCCACCTCTAGGTAGAAACATAAATGGTGCATCCTTGCAGGGGACGTATCATGTCTTGTGGCCTTACTTGTGGGGCAGAGATCAGGAGGATCATAGTCTTGGCATAAAAGAGTGAGATACTATTTGAAAAAATAACAAAAGTGGTTGAACACCTGCTCAGCAAGCATGAGGCCCTGAGTTCAAACCCCAGTACCACCAAAAAGAAGAAGAAAAAAAAAAAAGAGCGAGAGAAAAGAAACAAAAAAAGAAACATCTTTTACCAGCTAAATAATCTGGCAACTCTGAAAGCAGAGAAAGCCGAGTTTGCACAGAAAGGAGGGGCAAATGCCTCCTGCTGGTTTTCAGTTGGGAGACAGCAGGCAATGCTGTCTCTTCCTCTAGCTCCTCTCGAACTTCTCTTTAGTATCCTCTTTAGTGATACCTTTTTTGTTTTTTAATATTCAATGTTTCAATGCATTCATTAATCTTGCTGATGTCTTTTCGCTGCTACCCCATTCTTTGGTATCTTTGCTTTCTGGCACAGTATGTTCCAGGTGCATTCCAAGTATTTCCTGCCCCTGACCTGGAATCAACTCTTCTTCCAAGGAGCTGAATGCCAGTTCTCAGAGCTCACAGCTACTTCATTGTCCTTTGCTTCTAGGCTTTTTTTTTTTTGGGTGACATTTTGCAGAATATTCCCTACCTTTCCCTCTCATGCTAGGGCCTCACACATGCATGCTAGGCAAGGAGTTTTTTCTTTCTTCTTTTTTTTTTTTAGATAGGGTTGCTATGTTTCCAAGGCTGGTTTTTGAACTCCTAGATGCAGGCAATACTCCTGCTTCAGCCTTCTGTGTAGCTTAGTAGCTGGGACCACAGTCATGGGCTAGAATTTTTACCTATTTTATACTTGTATACTTGTATCTTTTTTTGTGTGTGTGGTACTGAGGTTTGAACTCAGGGCCTCACATTTGCTAGGCAGGTGTTCTACCACACTAAGCCATGCCCCCAGCCCTTTTTGGCTTTTTAGTTATTTTTCTGAAAGACTCTCTTGTTTTTGCCCTGGGCTGGCTTTGTACTATGCTGGACTTCACCTCTTGAGTAGCTGGGATTACAGGGCTGTACCACCACTTGGTTCCTTCTAATATTGTTTGCTCTGGAAATATTGATTCTTAATATGTGTGTTGTTGTATAATATGTTGTAACAATAACATCAATATTACACATACAATACCCAGTGAAATGTAATGTACCTTTATTTTTCTGTAGGGAAATGCTAACTCCAGCAAGAATCTCACTGTACAAACAAAAAATCTGTTCTTTATCACAATTTAAAATATTTGTGCTTCAAAGGATACTTTTCATAAGGAACTAAAAAGACAACCTACAGGGAGGGGGTGGGGGAAGGGGGTAGAAATGACCCAAGCCTTGTATGCACATATGAATAATAAAACAATAATAATAAAAAAAAGAAAACCTACAGAATGTGTCCAAAGGAAAAAAAAAACGTAGACTTCAATGATTAAAAAAAATGAACATTCCCAGGCCTGGGGTGGTGGCCCAATCTGTAATCAAGCACTGTGGAGGGGAGGCTGGAGGACTGTGAGTTTGAGGCCAGCTTGGGGTACATAATGAGACCCTGCCTCAAAAAGCAGAATCAAAAACCTTGTACATGCACACGGAAAGCAGTATTATTATTCAAATAGCCGAAAGGCAGAAACAGCGCAACAGATGGATGGATAGGCAAAATGTGGTATATCTACACACTGGAACATTACTCAGCCATACAATGGAATGAATACTGACACACTCTACAACGTGGATGAACCCTGAAAATACTATGTTACGTGAAAGAAGCCAGCCACAAGAGACCATCTATTCTATGCTTCCATTTACATGAAATGTCTAGAATAGGTAAATCCAGAGAGACAGAAAGTAGTAATTAGCAAGGGTGAGAAAGGAATGGATAATGATTGCTAATGGATAGGGATTTTTTTCTGGGATGATGAAAATAGTCTCAGTTAAAGAGTTGTTGTGGTTGGACAACTTTGTGGATGTACTAAAAGCACTGAAATTTTGCTATTTAAAAGGAGCACACTCTTTTGTTTTGCCGAGGGTTGGTCTTCCAGACCCGAGGTCTAGGATCTTCACGCCTAGCATCTGGAGTAACTGGGACTACAGGCGCGCACTGCACGACTGGATAAAGGATAGCTTGTAGTTCAACTTTTAAACTTTCTGCTGAGGGCGTGACTCAAGTGGTACGCCTGCCTAGCAAGTACGAGGCCCTGAGTTCAAACCCCAGTACCACTGCCAAAAAAAAAAATTCTTAGGTTGGAGTGACGATCAGTGGTGGAACACTTGCCTAGCATTTGTGAATTCGCGGGTTCCATCCCCAGCCAAGCAAAGAAAAATAATTCTCGGTTGTTTGAGGCTCACAGAGGCTCAGAGAAAACAACATTGGTACGTCAGCCCCGCCCTGCAGCTTGTCTTTCTACCTGGTCCTCGGGTTCCCGCGGCTGCGCACAAGTGGAAAGGAGCCTTTCCTGGGTCTGCGGCGCGGGGCAGCTCGCCCCGCCCCCGCAGGATGGCCCCTCCCATTTCCCCTGCTTGCCCCGCCTCCCTCGAGCGCCGAGCCGGCCGGGCGTCTGCGCATGCGCTTTCCTAGAACCACCTGGGCGGGTCCTACTGGTGTGTTCTATTCCGACAACGCCCAATTTGGGAAGTTTTTGCCGAGACCCACCGAGAGCGGTATCGTTGTCACCTGAGGGGGCCTCCCTGGTTTTCCCAGCCACCTCCCTGCTCGGTGGGGCTCCATCGGCGCCCCCGGGCGTCTGGGCTTGTTTTCCCGTGGGCCTGTAAAGCTGCAGCCCAGCGGGTAGAGGGACAGCGCCAGGGAGCAGCGGTCGGCCAACTTCGTCAAGGCCACTAAGTAAATAGTTATGCTTTGCAGCCATGCGGTCTCAGCCCTGACTACTGGGCTCTGCTATTGTAGCACAAAAGCAGCCACAGACAATTACAAAGGAATGAAGGTGGCTGTGTTCCAGTAAAACTTTGTTCATGGACACTGAAAACTTAACCCTTACAATTTGTGATTTTTCTCAAACCACCTAAAAATATAAAAGCCCTTCTTAGTCCACTGGCTCTACAAAAACAGGCAGCATAGCTCCTGCCTTAAGACAGGTTTGGGATGGAGGTGTTCCTTTACTCCCTTTTTTGCCAAGGACACGTGACCCTAAGTCTCCCAGGGAAGACTTCACAGACAGGACTAGGAACATTGCAGTGATTCGAAGACCCGATGAGACAGACGTCCCAGTTTTTCCACTGCAGTGTTTCAGTGGTTGACTCACCTCCAGAAAAAGGGAACTATCTTAAGTCCAGCTCAGTTTTTCTCTGCAATTTATCTCATAATCCTATTTAATTTTATTTCAGTTTGGGTGAGAAAACAATTCTTTTAAAATTTACTTTTAATTGTGGTAAGATGAAAAATCTAATTGTTCTGCAATGAGTCAGCCTGGTCCTTAAACACTTGAGAATAAAACCCCTGCCTTGAAGAAACCGCAGAACACCTGCTTGCAAACTCTCCACTTGTACCTCTAGTTGTAGCCTCTGTGACTGGAGCAGGGCCATGTCTGAACACAGGACTGGAGAGTGCCAGTCCCAGTTCCTGGCTTGGGCCACTGTGGTGGAGTCCCCTTCTGACAGGCTGGACTTGCTAAAGTGGAGACATCAGATGGCACAACCCACATTACACTTGGTATGTGGTGTTTGCCGTGAGGTGTGAAGTCAGGATCTAGGTCAGCACCATTCTGTGCAAATATGTGACCCATGTAATTCTAGATGTTCTAGTAGCCACATTTTAAAAAGCAAGAGAGAAATTAATTTTAATGTTTTATTTATCCTATGGAGTATTTCAGCATGTAAGCAATATATATTTTTGTTTGCTTTTGAGACATGGGTCTTGCTGTTTCCCAGCCTGGCCTTGAACTCAAGGCTCAAGTGATCCTCTGGCCTCAGCCTTCTGAGTGGCAGGGACTACAGCTGTGTATCACCTTGCTGGCCATAAAGTAATTAATAAATTATTTTAATTCTACAAAAATGTAAAAAAATTTTTTGTGGCACTGAGGCTTGAACTCAGGGCCTTCTTGAGCTACTCTGACAGCCCTTTTTGTGATGGGTCTCCAAACTATTTATCTGGGCTGGCTTCGAACCACGATCCTCCTGATCTCTGCCTCCTGAGTAGCTAGGATTACAGGCATCTCTACAAAATCTTTTACACCCCGTGTGTACTGCATATTTACAGCATTCCACTCTTGACTGGCCACATTTCAAGCATTCAGTAGCCACATGTGCCTAGCAGCTCCCACATCAGAGAGTACAGATTTAGATCAAATGAAACAGGAAGTGTGGTGATATCTGTGTGTGATTCCAGAAGGGAGGAGACAGTTGCTTAGCTTCTGGGCCTGGGAGACCTAGGTTATAAGAAGACAGCCAAAGGAGAGCCCTTCTGGACTGGAGGTGTGGCTCAAGGAGTAGAGCACCTGCTCTGCAAGTGTGAAGGCCTGAGTTCAAACCCCAGTCCCGCCAAAAAAAGAGGAGAGGCCCAGCTACAAGCCAACTGGTCACCTCCCCGCCCACTCCACCCAGGCATACCCTTACTGTTGCATGCTTCCTAGGCCAGTGTTGAAAGGTGGTCAGTGTGAGGATGTCACCTATATCTTAACTAGCATGTGCTCAATTGTCAGTGAGGCTGCACTGGACTTGGAGGCTTAACAAGCTGCTAGTTTTGGAACAGGAGGGCTGGTCAGAGGTGTGTCTTTTGACCACCCATGTTGGGGAGAAGGGTGTGACAACCCAAAGGAAAGTAGAACATTTTGAGCCCCCTCCCTGCTAGCTCAGAACCGAGAGGCACTGTAGTTCCTAGAAGATACAGGTGCTTCATTATTTAAACCTTTTGAATGGTGAATTTTGTGGGCATCTCATTCAGAGACCAAAGAGAGGCCTTTTTTCTTTGCTTCCTACCATCTCCCTGGCTGATGCATACATGCAGGTGCTCAGAGCCCTACTCTAGGGGCTACCGTCAAATTCTCCAATTCTACTGTCTGACCATGACTGGCCAGGAACAGGGACACTGGAGTTCCAAGACTGAGAGACTCCACCCTTTCCCTCTTGACTGGCTTCTCAGAGAGCTGTGAGGGGGAGGAGACTCGAGGCCATCCAACACCCCTAATCTTAAATTTGTTTTGCCTGATTGGGACTTCCCCAGGCCCTAACCACACCTGATGCTGTGGAGGAGTGTGGGCTGGTGATAGGGGGCAGCATTTCTGGGTGCCTCTGTCCTTCTTGAACCAAACCTTAGGACCCTCCAGCTTCCCAGACAGCAGTGAGGGCCCTGCCCTCAAGAGAGGGTGTATAGGATTCACCAGAGCACAAATATCACTCACTAGGGCCCTTCCCAGAACCTGGATTGGATAGGGTCACATTGAGAGGAGAGAGCAAGGTCCAGACCTCAGGCTCAGGCCCACATAAAATCAGGGTTTGTGGCTCCAAGGAGAAAGCAGCTCCATACACAGACTCAAGAGAAGGATACCGCAGATTGGAAAGACATCCAGACTGCCTCTGGCCCCATTTATTACAAAATAATGACAATTGATATATAAAACATCCCTGCCACCCCTAATATCACCCACAATGGCCTGCACCCCTCAGAGTACCTCCCATAGGGTACGAAAGGTCTCAGACTCGTAGGTCCCCAGCCAGGAGGGCGCTATACCGGGCAGGTGTGAGAGGGAGGTAGGCACCCACAGCTTGGTCCAGAATGTAGAGGACATCAGACAGTGTGCTAGGATCAAAGCCTTCACTTGCCATCCGAACCTTCTGTTGTTTGAAGGTCTCAGTGGTGGCCAAAGACTCCTGGGGAGAGGATGGGGTAACAAAAGCCGTAGGCCCAGCTGGTTCAGATGAGTTGCCCAAGAATTTTGTTAAGGGGAAAGTCTGGGGAAAGGACATGAGGTAAAGTTAAGGGGAGGAAGAGATGACAGGGCAGAGAACAGGGCATGGACAGCCTGGCTGGGAAGGAGTTGTTCCTTCTCTTCACGGAGTATTTTACGTGGGGTCCCTTCGTGGAGTTCAAGAACTGTTGTACATCTGTGGGGTGAGGGGTGGGGCAGAATCAATTACCTGGAGTCTTAGGAACCGAGGACGGGCATAAGGTGGCAGGTTCTCAGAAACATGGGTGTAAAGCTGCACAAGGTCCAGAGCGTGGGGGGGACGAAGAACCACGGCTGCCATTCCAGCCTTGCCTTCGTGCCCTGGCAGGTGTGGAAAGCAGCAGCGTGACCACTCCGTGGCTGACCCCCGGAAAGCCCTGTGCTCCTTGTGCCCAAGCATTCCCATCTAGGATGGCGGGCCAATCACCTCTCCCACCTTCCATGCCTACGCACCTGGCACAGTGACTCCATAGACATTCACCTCCTGAAGGAAGTCCAGGGCCTCAAGGACCTGGGCCACCTCAGTGGTGGCTACGTTCTCCCCCTTCCACCTGTTGGAGAAGAGACATCTGAAACGGGGGACTGGGTCCAGGGCTTGGGAGCTTAGCGGGGAGAAATGCCACTGTCATAGGGACTGATATTTATGAGATCTGAGAACAAGACACGGACATGAACCTGGGTGGAAAATTAGGAAGCACAGGCTTGGGTCACAGGGATCAGATGTCTGGGTTTATGTCTGTAATCCTAGGTGGCTGGGAGGTGGAGACAAGGAGGATCACAGTTTAATGCCAGTCCAGGCAAAAAGTTTGAGAGGCCCTATGGCAATCAATAAAAAGCTGGATGTGGTGGTGCATGCCTGTCACCCCAGATACACTGGAAGCATACATAGGAGGATGGTGGTCTAGGCTTGTCCAAGCATAAAATGAGACGTCATCTCAAAAATAACGAGAGCAGCAAGGCTGGTGGAGTGGTTCAAGTGGTAGAGCGCCTGCCTAGAAAGTGCAAGGCCCTGAGTTCAAACTCAGTACCTCAAAAAAAAAAAAAAATTAGAAAGTTATGAGCAGGTACCTGAAGGTGTCTCCAGTACGATCGTGGAAACGAAGAAAGCCTTGGTTATCACAGACCATCAGGTCCCCGGTGTTGAAGAAAACATCCCCAGGCTGGAAGACATCCTTCAGCAGCTTTCCCTGGGCCAGTTCTGGCCCCCCAGCGTAGCCCAGGAATGGGGACTGCTGGCTCACTGGGGCCACCAACAGCCCTGGCTCACCTGGCAGAGTCACTGGGGTCAGGAATGGCTGCTTACCTCACCCAGAGCCTCTTGGTACCCACTCCATCCTAATCACCAATTCTAATCCTCATTTGCCAGCTTCACCACCCTGGTTATAACCCTCCCCCGACCAGCACAAACCTGGAGATGTGGCTACACAGTGCCCCTGGGCCTGCCGAACTGGTTCCCCTGTGGTGACATCATAGCGAATCAAAGAGAAGGGGAAGACACGCTAGGGGAAGGGAGACCCAGCACCGGGTCATTTTGGTTGCAGGGATGAGCCCCCACTTTGTTCCAGCCCTTTAGTTCCATGGGTTCTCAGATTCCTGTCTGCCCCTCACCTTGTAAAGCCAGGAGGCACGTCCCACAGCTCCCTGTTGTCCTATGTAGTTGAAAGTGGCCACATTGCCCTCTGTCAGTCCATATGTCTCTAGCACCTGCAGGGGCCCAAAGCGCCGTACAAACCGCTCCCAGGTGTCTGGGCGTAGCCCACTGCCCACTGCCAGCCGCACTTTATGGCCATGTTCTGCCTTGTTCTGAGATGAATGGGAGAGAGGCAGGAGCTTCAACACCAAGGTGACTGCCCCTATTCCTCATCCCCTGGGACCCTCCCACCGTCACCTCCTTCACACACCCCAAGCATCAGATGGCCTATGCCATCTCAGACTCCATGCTTCCTCTCCCTCCAACTTCCAGACAACGGCCTCACTGTCTCCGTCATCTGTCCTGCTCCCTGTGACCCAGCCTTGTGTCAGCAGCTTTGCCTACGCACCGGGGGCTGGTTGACGAGGTATCGGCACAACTCGCCGATGTACTGGAACACAGTCACCCTGTGCTGCTGGCAGTCCTCCCAGAATTGGCCAGCTGAGAACTTGGACTTCAGCACTACGGTGGCCCCTGTCAGAAGTGCGGAGGGTGGGAGGAAGGAGATGAGGTTAAGAGTTCAACCTTACCTTCCCAGACACCAGCCTTCCCTGTGGTGCTATTCTCTGAGAAGGACCTGCTGGCAGACTCACACCTTCAGTAGGCCATGCTGGCTTCCTTTTCTTTTAATGCCCTTCTCTTGCTTCTCAAGCCCAACTATTCCATCCTGGTACCCTGGTTCCCAAGTCCCACATCCTTCTCTATCTGCCTCTTCCTAGACTGACTCTTGCTTTGTCGCTGAGCCTGGAGTTGTGTGAACTGCAAGCCTCCCTGACTGCTCAGTCTGTGGACCTGAGGGGGTACCTCCGTACCAGGGGGTCCTGGAGAGTAGGGCTTGCCTCCTCTCTACCGTTAAGAACTCAGTACAAATCCCCAACAAATCATGCTACAGTGGGTACTTGATGAGTCAAGGTGCATGGGGGAGACTGACCAATGCCCAAGCAACCCACAATGCCCAACAAGGATCCAGACATGTGGTAGAGTGGGAGAGTAAGGTAGATCACGTCCTCCTGGTGGACACCGCACAGCTGGTAGAACGCCTGGCACTGCAGGATCTTCATATGACTGATCCGAGCAGCCTTAGGGAGGCCTGTGGGGTGGCACAAGGAGGGCTATCAGGGGGAGGGTCTGAGCCCCAAGCCCTAGGTCTGTGTCCCCTGCCAGGGATCCCATAGAGAGAGGAAGAAAGAGAACAGAAGCTGACATAGGAAGGAGGAAGGCAAGGCTGTCCTGGAAATGTGGGTTACTTTGGAGGAGGTGGAGAGGAGGACTGAAGAGAGAGGCTGTGTCTGGGATGGGCATCCTTCCTTGGAAATTTGAAAGAGTGGCCTGGAAGCTGAAGAGGTCCCAGTTCCTGTTCCCAGACCCCACCTTCCTCTACCTTAGTTTCTGGGAAGCACCTTACCCGTGGTGCCAGAGGTGAAGATGTACAGGCACGTGTCCGTTATGCTCCGCGGGGCAGAGAGGTATCCGGGCACTGGCCCATTCTCTTGGGCTGCTGCCTCAGCCAGCAAATCGCTAATTCCTGCAAATTGTGCTTCTGGGCCTGTAGCCCACAGGTGGAGCCCCATAGCTCTCAGGGCGGGCAGGTCGGGCTCCAGGGACTCCAGGAACTCTAGAAAGGTAGGCAAGCACAGCTCTGCGGCTCTGCCCCACCCAGAAACCTTTCTCATCCCTTAGCCAAGTTCCCCGAGCCTCTCCACACTGCTCTTGGATGAGGATGGAGAGTATAGACATTCCATCAAGGGTCTGGGACCTGGAGCCCGACTCCTTGGGGGGACCAGATTCAGCACCATCCCTTCGCAAACTCAAAGACTCCTATCTGCCCTCAGGAAGATAGATAGTTCGGCTCCCGAGGCCCAGGACTAGCCCAGGCCCCTTCCTAACCCAGACACACATCTCTGGCGGAGCTGGGGGTGGGGGAAGGCTGGCCCCGCCCTGGTCAGTTTGTCGCTCCAATCTTACCTGGCGCCAGCACAAGCGCGCGCGCGCCGCAGCTGCGGAGGCAGTGCAACAGGGGACCTCGGCGCAGGGCGGTGGGCACAAAGGCTGTGCGCAGGCCAGCCTTGGCCAGCCCGAACCAGAGCCATAGGAATTCTGGGCTGGCGGGGAGAAGCAACGCCACGGTCGCCCCGGGTGCCAGAGGGGTCGCAGCTCCTCCACCTCTGGCCGCCCCATCCTCTTCACATTCCGCAAGCCCCGCACCGCTTCCGGCCGCTGCGTCTCTGGCGCCTTGCGCCTCCTGTTCTATCTCTCCGCCGCCCCAGCCCCGGCCCCAGCCCCGCGCGCGCAGGAAGGCGCGCGCAGCCCGGTTGCTCTCGCGCTCCGCCGCCGCGTAGCTGAAGCGCCGCGTGCCGTGAATGAGAAAGGGGTGTGCGGGGCGCTGCCGAGCCAGTTGCGCAAGGCGCCAAGCCAGGCTGCAGCCCCCGTCGGGACTTTCTGGGTCGGCGGCAGCCGCGGCCAGCGCACGAGCTCTAAGAGCTCTTTTGCAGCGGAGAGCGCGGACCGTGAAGGCCAAGTCCGCCAAGAGCCAGCGCAATTGAGGCCAGAAGTGGAGCTTCAGCAGCAGCAGGAGGGGCAGCAGCAGCAGCAGGGGCAGCAGAAGGAGGGCAGCCATGGTGCCCTCCTCCGCTCGGCACCGTTCGGCTCCCGATACACGCAAACCACCCTAGTGACCCTTCTTGAAAAACGGCCCGCTCGTTCTTGAGATCTCGCCTCCGCGGGAGCGCGCGTGCGCTGGCAACACGCCCCTTCCCACCCAGCGCCCCCACCAGTGAGTGTGTATCGGGGGGGGCGGCTCAGCCTCACGGCCCTCCCCACTGCCTACGCCCCGCCCTAGGCATTCGCTCCCGGACTTCTCCGGCAGCTCGCGGCCTGCACTCTTGTCATGTCTTGGGCGTGCTGAAGCCTTTTCTCAATCCCAGGGTCGTGCACGTCCCGCTTTGAGTTTTCTCCTCTTGGGAGGTTTAGGCTTCTGGCTGGACTGTGGTGTACCGGTCTAAGAGCCAGGGCATTTGGGCCGCAGTCCATCTTTCCCTCAAGTTTTCATTTTCACCCGTGATAGGAGGGTTTCTTTTGCTTTCTCTCAAAGGAAACTGAAAAACTTGGCCCCTGGCCCATCGGTTCTGCAAGTCCCAGCATGACAGCTAGACCCATGCGTTCCCTCCAGCTCCCAGCAGCAGTAGTACCTCCAGGAGGTGGGTGGGGGCCCCAGAGTTAAGTAGGGGAAAGATGGAGGCCCAGACTGCTAGATTTCTGCAGGGCCATGACGGAAGTCCCACCCTTTGGGCAAGGGTACAGTAATTGGGCCATCCATCCATGCTGGCTTTAATTGAGGCAGTGGAAACTGGGGAAGGAGAAAGGAAGGAAAAAGGGGCCTCTGATAGTTTAGGTTTTCAAAGGAGTAGCAGCTTTGAAGTTGTGGAGAGCCTGGCTCGCTAAACAGGTAGCAGTGCAGGCTGAATGAAAGGAGCTATCTGCATTGAGCCCAACTCACTCCTCTCTCCTCAGCAGGTCTCCAATCTCTCTGGACAGGAGGGGAACAAAAAGCACAGCCAAGGAATTCTTCTGGGGGTACTCGGGAACCAACAAGTGGCCAGACTGGAAAAGGGTCTCCCCCCCAGACACACTTTTTTCCTTCTAAACACAAGGTGAAGCTCCCTCCTTGCTGAGCAGTTGGTAAGCAAGCAGACTTAATAAACTGGAGTGAGCTGGACAAATACTAACTTTTGGAGGAGCAGTTTCTTGATAAGCAATGGGCAAAGATAGACATCTGCCTACAGGGCAATCAGTTTCCCCAGGGACAGGTCAGTGCCTGGCTCACACCTCCACTGGTAGTGGGAAGGATTTGGGGGAGGGCAAAGCCAAGTCTCTCCTGCTACAGACAAAAGGCAGGCAGTTGGGAAGCCTCAAGGAGCAGTATCAATTAAACTGAGACCACCTGTACACACACAGGTAAGGGTAGATGGCAACTCTTGCACAAAAGACTTTCTGGCTTGCTTTATTGTCATTTAAAAACAACTTTTAAAACTCGATTATCTCTGCCAAAAAAAAAAAAAAAGCAAAAACAGAACCAAGGAAATGGACCATTTGACAGTTCTGAGGGACTTGCCTCTGGGACTCCCCTGGGCTCTGGCCCAGCTTGAGGTGTCAACCTCAGGCCAACCCAAGCTTCTGGGCACAACATGTGGTGCTGGGAATCACCCTGTCAGGTTCCTTCCTGAAGGCTTGTGGCATCTGTGTGGATAGGCACTGACCATGCCAGGTGAGGTGCCTGTTTCACACTGTCATGTGCACAGTGACTACAGAACGTCTGTTCGGAGCAAATCAAGACTGAGGGGGGAGCAGAAGGGATACTCACACACTGAGCATCTGCTTTCATCCCAGATTCTCTGCCCAACATTTCCCTCTCTGTCCAAATGGTTCTTTGGAGACTGGAGGAGGAGCTGAGGGGGGGACAGAGGCTGAGGACTTCCACTGTGGTGTGGTTTTACACAGTCTCTGGCTACCACAAGAACCCAAATATCAGTGGGAACAGCTGAAGGGGGGTGCTGGATGCCCCAGGACAGGAGGGGCAGAGCAGAGGCTGCATGGCAGCTTTCAGGATGGGCCACCTTTCCCTGGTGAGCAGGACTGGGGAAAGGTGTTTTCCCTGCAACTCCCAGCCCTGTTACCCTTGGGTTCATCAGGGAGGAGAGGGCAGTCCAGCTTGGTGGGATGGGAACACAGGGCCTCAGTCACTGTCGGAACCCACTGCAGAGGATCCTTTTCGTTTCCGCTTGGTGGGCTTTGGTTTTGTGTCTTCCTCCTCCTGGAAGAGATGGGGTGGGAGGAGAACAATTACTAACTTTGGGCCCTGACCCCTGCACCCACTGCTCCCTCCCTCCTGTGCACTGGGTGCAAGTCTTACAGAGGCGCTGCTGGAGCCAGACTCTTCCTCAGCATTGGGTGGCTGAGTGGCATTCTTTCGACTTCGAGGACTGGACAGAGCTGCCTTTCTCCGGCTCTTGGGTGGCTTAGTGGAAGAGTCCTCATATTCCTCCGCCAGGGAGAAGAGATCACTGAATCTAAGGGAAAAGCAGGAAGCTCTAAAGAGTGGGGGCATCCTGGTCCTGTGGCCCTTTCCCATCCTGTTCTCTGCCTTAGGTCTCAGTCTCTTCTCTTCGACCTCAGGGACATGCTGGCCATTAAGCTTATGTCCCCACCAGGTTTCTTCTACCCTAGGCCTTCTTCCCACTCCTTCTCAAGGCCAAAAGTGAAAGGAGCCTTACTTCATCTTGTGGGCTTCATCACAGCTCGCCTGGACATGCTGCAGTGCCTGTAGGATTGGGGTCTGGCTAAAAACTAGGCAGAGAAGAAAAGGGAGAGCAGAAAGAATAATTAGATGTTTGGGAGCTTATTAAATGGCACTAAAGGTTGTTTTCTCCCAAAGGTTTGAGTTCTGGTCCAAGGGGTCCTGTCCCCACCCCCTCCTGGCCCTAAGGGGTCTGAGCAGGGCACAACCACCCACAGTAGACCAGAGTGGGGTGCATACAGTTCTGCTTGGTGTTGGTCAGGTTGAGCCGCAAGTTGTCCAAGTGCTCCAGGATCTGCTCCAGAGTCAACTGGGCCAGCTTGCTGCTGGAGCTTCTCAGGCTGCACAGGGGCCAAGACAGTATGTGAGCTGGGGGAGGCCTCCAGGAGTTGGAGGCACTCTCTACCCACCAGGATTCTTCCTTAAGGCAGAAGGCTGGGGTAGGTTAAGGGAGATGTGCTACTGCAGAGAGACAGCAGAGACCACAGTGGTCCTGCATGCCACATATCTTCAAGCCACTAGATGTCATCCACAAACTAGGTTGGGACGATCCCTGGGTAGGGTCAGACTGCCCTGCTGATGCCTGCTGACAATGCGTGGGAAACAGTACATCCCACCTCTGCCTTTTTCGAGGGAGGCTGTTGTTCTTGATGAGCAGGGACTTGATGTGCTCGGCCAGCAGCTCGTCATGCTTCATGCACCAGTGCCTCAGGATGCTAGTAGTGAACTGGTCGTCTGGGTGGCAGGGCCGGCTCAGCACCATCTTTACCATTTCCTCACTGGGCCTGTGGGTAAGGGGGTGCTGGGTGCCGTGCACACAAAGCTGGCCTCAGGAACTGCTGGATCTCTCCCACTTATTTCCCAAACTCCAGCCTCCAGCCTGGCTCTACCCCAGTCCCACTGTGGCTTCCTATTCTCACACCCCTCCCCGCCTTCTTTCTGAGCCAAAGAATGCCTGGTTTCATTCTCTGTGGCAGCTAGGAAACGAGAAGTAAGATTCTGTGGTGGTAGGCGGGCACTTGTGTGTTGGGAAGGAGGCCCACCGAATCCCTTACTTCCCCCAGAACAGCCAGGGAAGGGGCCTGCGAGGACGGAGGGCAGGTTGTAGTGTGTGGAGACTCTCCAGCCTGGCCCTGTTGGAGCTACAGGCCAGCTTGGTATCTAGCTTAAGGGAGGGATGGGGAGGATTAGAAGCCACAGTCCCCACAGGCCCTCAAAACTTCCCACTTCCTCTAGGATTCTGTACCATTTCTAGTGTCTCAGGCAGGAAAACAGGTGGAAGGAAAAGATACAGCTATTATCCCATTTATCTGGAGATGTTGCTAACCTGACTGACAGAAAGGGGTCTTCTGCCCTCTCTCCATGTGTACCCCCACCCTTGGCAGACAGGGTAATGGGTCCAGCTGGCTCTGTTCTGTGCAGGATGAGGGACTGAATGGGTGTGATCCCTCTTCTCTGACCCTTTCTCCCCTTGGATGAACCTGTGGTGGCCTGAGGAGTATAGGGGAGGGGAACAGGAGCCACCAGGTTTAGAATTGCTGTGGCAGCAGGAAATACGGATGTCCGGTCCCCACCCCTCCACCTCTGAGGGCAGCTCCTGGTGGGCAGGGGTGGGTAAAGTCAGAGGAAGCCAAATCCCAGGGGAGCTGCTTATTTGTAAGTCACACTGGGGCAGAATAGCAGAAGTCAATGACAGGAACAAACAACACAAGGAGCAGGTCAGGAGCCCTTTATGGAATTCCCTTGGAATGTTGGGACAGGGACTAAAGAGCATCCAAGGGTAGAACTCACTTCTCTCTTCGGAGCTGAAGCAGTAGGCAGGACAGGGCTTCTGGGTGCTCTGTGAGGGAAGGGACAGGCTGTTCAGGGAAATGCATCATTCCAGGATGGAATCTTGGCACCTCCCTATCTCCCAACAGCCACTGGAAGAACAAGGATAATCTGATCAAGAGCCAAGAAAAATCTCCTGGAGCCACCTGAGGCCCCAGTCAGATGTAGGCTTACAAGGCTCCTCTACAGAGCAAAAGTGACTGGCAGAGCTTCTGTGCCTTGGTGTGGGAGAGCAGAGCTCTGGCCCATCCTAGAAGCCTAGAGGCCTTAGCCTTGCCCAGCTAGACTGGGGTGTCCTCTCCCATATTCCCAGCACTCAGCTCTACTTACCCTTGTATTTGAGGTGCTGCAGGATGGGGATTATAGTCTCCAGGGGGATGTTGTGGGCCAGGAAGAGCTGCCAGGCACAATACTGCTCAAAGGTTTCCCAGTCCAGGCTCTGAACTGAAAGAGACAGAGAAGAGACTTCTCTCTCTTCTGTCAGATAAACAGACAGACATAGACACAGACACACATGCACTAATCTACTAATATATCAGCAAGGTTGGTAGAGAGGTAGAGACAGTGATCCTAAACCTAGACCCTTTCCCTTTCCACACAATACATATATAAAGTTGTCACAGGGCTTCCATATTCCCACCAACTTTAATTGCCTTTTTTTTTTTTTTTTTGGTGGCATTGGAGTTTGAACTCAGGGCCTCACACTTGCTAAGTAGGTGCTCTTACTGCTTGGGCCACTCCGCCAGCCCTCCCACCAACCTTAAGGTTGGAGGGGCAAGAGTAAGCCTTTCTAGCCAGGCACTAATGGCTCATGCCTGTAATTCTAGCTACTTGAGAGGCTGAGATTTTCCCAAGGCCAGCCCAGGCAAATAGTTCATGACACCCCATCTCCAAAATAACCAGAGCAAAATGGACTGGAGGTGTGGCTCAAGTGATAAAGACCTGCTTTGCAAGTACAAAGCCCTGAGTTCAAACCCTAGTCCCACCAAAGAAAAAAAGAGTAAACCTTTCCATTTTACAGATCAAGAAGTAGATCTGGCCCAAGACCACACAGCAGGGCGGGATGACATTCTACCCCATAATTTCCCAGCCCCAGAACCTCTTTCCTGTTACTGTGGAAAAAAAACACAGGGCTGATGCCCCTTTCCTCTCCCAGATACCTATAAAGCCTGGTCCCTTACTGAGTATGTTGAGGACGGAGTCTTTTCGAAACATGACCAGGTTCCCCATCATCACATGGCAGACTAGCTCCTGAAGCTGTGCAAGAGGAAAAGACAGGTCATTAGCTCTAGAAGAGACTAAAGGTGTGGAGGGTACAGCATGGCACACAATGAAAATTGAAGTCTCTGAAAGATGAAGGGGCTGGTAAGACAGCAACAGGTCTGAGTGGGAACCACAAGCCTATTTGGGACAAAAGTAGTTATGGGGACCGACACACCCTAATGTTAGAAGGAGAAAAGGCAACTTCTCTCCCTGGCCTTAGCCTGGGCCTAAGGAGACTGGACTTGAATCTAGGTGTGGGCAAGGAAAAGCAAAAGAAGGACTCTTGGTGCTAAGTTTCTCTTTAGAGAGTGGGAACTGAGTGGACAGGAATAGAAAAGAAGACCTAGTCCAGGCCTGAGATGGATTTAAGCAAACCTACAATAATCTCTTAGAGTTCCATGCATGGTGGAAAGGTCAAGTAGAAATGGCCCAACTATTTTCATTTGGAGCCAAGAGGAAGGTCATTTGAGAGCTAAAAACACAACAGTCCCCCCATCCCCTACCTTTCCCTGTGGAAACAGAACTACCCAATGAATATGGAAAATAAGGGAAACTTGGCAGGATTAGCCTGACCCTCCTGCCTCCTTTGGGCTCCACTCTTTATTCACAACCCCCATGGCCTAATGTGCACCCAACTGTAGCCAGGAGGCAGAGTACTTGCTGGGCACGAGTTATTTTCTGTAGGCCTGGAGAGAAAGCAGAAGCCCTGGGTGCCCCAGGGCTACCTTCCAAGCCCTCTTTGAGGATGTCAAAGTCAAGGTTCACCTGTGCAGAGTCAATAACAGCCACAATCATGTTCAACAGCTCTCCACTTCTCAAGGTTTCATCTGGAAACTAGATAAAGACAGGGAAACTAGGGTAGACCCCTTGGCTTTCACCTTATAACCACCCCTCCTCTAACTTATCTCAAGCTAGTGGTCTGGCTGAGTCAGTCAGGCACAAGTCCTAATACAAATCCCTAAACAGATCCAACAGCTGTCAAGCTTGGACTCTTAACCTTTGAAGCCCCCAAGGGGTGTGTGTGTACCACAAGGGGTGCATACAGAGAGGAATGGGGGCTGAGAGAGAGAAAGCCTGAGCTGACAGGGATTGGACGTGTATTTCTGTGAGGGAGTGGCAATAAAACAAACATTTAAATCCTTGGCAGCAGAGAAATCCAACCTATGCATACTCTCAGCCGAAGAGAAGGCGAGACCCTATGTATGTGGAGTGTGTGGGGTACACAGGTCTCCCTCTGGAGTGGGAGAGGGAAGGAGGGATCTTATGTGTGGTCCCTATGCCCCTCCCCTTCCAGGCGTGGCTGAGATCACAGTTCCCTGTCATGCCCACACCCCAGGCCCTCATTTCCCAATTCCTGGAAATGAGGAAGAGCTGTCCCAGTCCCACTTCTGAGAGACTTCCAACCAATCAGGGGAAATGAAAGTGAGTCTCTGCTACAGAACCACGACGGGTGAGCCATCACAGGGCAGGAGGACTTGGGAGAGATGAATAAGGATCTGGTTTGGGGCCTGTCCTGGGTTCAAACCATGGGGCCAAGTATATAGATCCAGATCCCAACTCTCACAATATTGAACCAAAGGATAGGGCTGTAGGGTGCTTCAGGAAACTTTCAACCTTTAATAAAGAGGCGGAAGGAGGAGACAGCTGTGGTGAGGGAAGCAGTGGCCACTGAGGTGGGTGGGGTTGTGTGTGACACTCAGGTGGGTTGTGTCCTGTGAGCCCCCTGCATTGTTTCCACCCCCCACCCCAGTATGGACACGTGCTGTGGAAGCACAGACCTCTGTGTAGATGGAGGGCGTGAGGTGGCACAGCAGCCGCACATCGTCTTCCTGGCACGCCTTCATATCCATCATTAGGCAGGTGTGCAGATCACCCAGCTGAGTGGCTTGGGCAAATGACTCATACAGGTTCATCTTCCCTGCGGCAGCTTTGCTGTAAGACCAGTTTGGCTTTAGCCACAGCCTGACTCCAGCACCAGACCCCTGAAAGCCCCAGAGCAGACTCCTACTGTGGATCACCTGTCTGCCCCGCAGGTTCTGTGTTAACATCCCACGTCTCTCCCTGCTTTCCCCAAGGGCCTGGCAACCTAAGAGCCAGGAGATACTTCCTTCTCCCCATGCCTCTGGTGCTCCAGACAGGGCTCTGACCACCATCTGTGAAGCTACTGACTACTCAGAGTGAAGCTCGGGTCAGGAGAAAGCTTGCTTGCCTACTGTCTGGGCTCTAGCCAGGAGGGAAGGAAAACCTCACACTATATACAAGACTTAAACTGGCTCCGAGGCCTGAAGGTAAGATCTAAAACCACTACAACACTTAGTAAAAGACACAGGAGCATCTTTATGACACCAAAAGCACAGTAAGGTAAGTAAATTTGACTTCATAACAATTTAACACTTTTTAAAAAAATTTTTTGAGATAGGGTCTTGATGTAGTCCATGTTGCCCTCAAATTCCTGTCCCCCTGCCTCCACCTCCCGAGTGCTGGGATTACAGATGAGTACCACTGTTTCCAGCCACTTTTATGTTTTAAAGGCTACCATCATCAAAAAAGTGAGAAGACAGGCTGGGTCTGGTGGCTCGTACTGTAATTCTAGGATTCAACAGGCCAAGGCAGGAGGATCCTGAGTTCAAGGCCAGCCTGGGTTATACAGAAAGGCCCTGTTTCTATAAGGGTATGATAGCACATACCTGTAACCCCATAACATGGGAGGCTGAGGCAGGAGGACTGCTTGAGATTAGGAGTTCTAGGCCAAACTGGGCAACACAGGGAGACCCTGCACTCCCTCACAAAAAAGAATAACACTGGGAACAGGATAAGAAATTTGAACTCTCTCCAAGCATGACAGCACATGCCTATAATCTCAGCTACATCAGAGGCAGAGATGGATCATGGTTTGAGGCCAGTGGGGGGAGGGGACAGGGATGTTAACGAGACCCTTTCTCAAGAAACGAGTTCGGTATGATGGCACACACCTGTAATCTCAAGTTAGGCAAGAGGTAGAGATAGGATGATTAAGGTTTCAGGCTGGCCACATGCAAAAAAACACAAGACCCTCTCTGAAAATAACTAAAGCAAAAAGGGCTGGAAGTGTGGCTCAAGGGGTAGAGCACTGAGTTCAAACTCGGGGGTGGGGGTTGGGGAGGAACTCACACATTGCTGATGGAATGTAAAATAGTTGCATATTGGAAAACAATTTGGCAGCTCCTGGCCAATGTAAAAATAAAGCTACTGCATGTACGACCCATCAGACAAAGCTGCTCTTGTTTTGATGTCCTGGGGTATATAACTAAGATTTTGAAAACTTTACATAAACGATCACAGACACTCCATTCACAATAGCCAAAAAGTAGAAACAACCCAAATGTCCATCAACAAACAAAATGGATTAAAAACTGTGTTATAAATGAATACCGGAATATTATTTGGCCATAAAAAGAAATGAATGGATACATTTACAACATGGATGATCCTTAAAAACATGCTAAGTGAAAACAGTGAGTCACAAAAGATCACACATTCTCTGACTCTGTTTATATAAAATGCTCAGAATAATGTTCTCTATAAATTGGTAAGAGACAGAAAGCAGAACACTAGTTGCCAAAGGCTGGGTGAAGTTCTTTTTGGGGCAATGAAGTATTTAAAATCAGACAGCAGTGAAGTTTGTATAACTTTGTATATATATTAAAAACATTAATATATATATTATAATATATATTATATATTGTATTAATATAATAAAACTGTGTATGCATTTTAAAAGGGTGAATTTTATGATATTCTAATTCTATTTCAATAAACATGTTATTTAAAAAAATAGCATGCACAAGACCCTGGGTTCTATCACCAGTACCATAAATAAACAAATATACACACACTTATCATGTCATGCTTTTTATATGACGTATTTTCCCAAAAGCTCACGTTTTGAAGACCTAGTCCCCTACAAGTGGATTCAATCATTAAGAGGCAACTGGATCAAGAGGGCTGTGACCTAATCTATGGATTAATCCACTGATGGGCCCATAATTTTTTTTTTGGGGAAATACTTGTTTTATTATGAAAGATATTAGAGGGCTGGTTGAGTGGCTCAAATGGTAGAGTGCCTGCCTAGCAAGCATGAAGTCCTGAGTTCAAACCCCAGTACTGGTCCTCCCCACTGCCACCCCCCCAAAAAAAAAGTATTAGAAAGAAAACAGGGGCTGGGGATATAGCTCAGTGGTTTAGTGTTTGCCTCGTATGCATGAGGCCCTGAGTTCAATCCCCAGTACCACAAAAAAAAGAAAGGAAGGAAGGAAAGAGGAAAGGAAAGGAAAGGAAAGGAAAGGAAAAAGGAAAGGAAAGGAAAGGGATGAAGAGATACATAAGGTAAAGTATGGGGGAGGGATGCGAGCTGCCATGGCCTTTCTGGGTGCACCACCCTCAAGGAACAAGCACATATCCTGGAAGTTGTCCAAACCATGTCCAGCTCAGGCTGGCCTCAATCTCTGTATGCTCTTTCATCAGCCTTGCAAGTATCTGAGATTCCAGGTGTGGTATTATTGGGAAGCAGTGGAAATTTCTGGAAGTGGGGCGTATTTGGAGGAAGTAGATCACTGGGGATATGACTTTGAAAGGTATTGTGCGCCAGGTACTGGTGGCAAACACCTGTCATCCTAGCTACTCAGAAGGTGGAGATCAGGAGGATCGCAGATTGAACCCAGCCTGGGCAAATAGTTCATGAGACCCTCTCTCCAAAAACTCTTCACAAAAATAGGGCTGGTGGAGTGGCTCAAGGTGAAGGTCCTGAGTCCAAGCCCCAGTACCACAAAAAAAAAAAAAAAAGTATCGTGCCTATACCTGGTCCCTTCCTATCACCCTCACCTTTCTTGGCTGTCATGAATTGAGCAGCCTCCTCCACCACATATCCACTGCCATATATTCTGCCTCACCTCAGGCCCAAAGCAATTGATCCAGCTGACCTTAAATTCAATCCTCTGAAACCACAGGCCAAATTTTTCCTCCTGTAAGTTGTTTCTCTCAGGTATTTGTCAGAGTGATGTGAGAACTCTATGATAACACAGCATGCATGAAGCTCTGGTTCAATCCCAGCATCAAAACAAACACCATAGCTCCCTCTCTCCCTCTCTCTCTCCCTCTCTCCCCAATCTCCTTCTGCCTTATACCTGGCCCATCATGGCTGTTTGTAACTCTTTCCCCTAACCTTTAATAAACATTTATTGTTAAAAAAAGAACAAACACCATAGACTGTGCTGGTGATGACAGCCAATGATGGGAGAATCAGTGTGCATGAGAGAGACTAGCTTTTCAGGATGCTCCCTGACACCTTGTGAACATGGGGACCATACCCACCTGGCCCTCAGGTAGTAAAGCAGATGGTAGCCTATCTTGGGCTGCTTTTGATATAGCTCAGAGAGAAGGTCCAGAAGCAAAGAGAAACTGCTGTTATCTTCCTGCATCTGGCATAGGTTCCTAGGGGCAGGTAGGAGGAAAGACATTACTCAGGGCAGGCTTTCCCAAAAGCTTCGGTGGCAAGGGCTGCTTCCCATTGCATACCTCCTCCTCCTCCCTGGAAAGGGAGCCCCATGACTCAGGACAGGGCTGTTATGTGCTTTGTTAGGGAGGATGGAGGGCAGAGCAGTCTCTCCTCAGTTGGGTGCTTACCTAAATATTAGGTAGAGAGGCTTCCCTACAGACTCCTCCAGGGATCTACAAGAGGAAGGTTACATGTGAGACTCTTCGTGAGAAAAGGGTGGCTGCAGGCAGGTAGTATGGAGGAGGAGGCATCTAGCCTGCTCCTTTCCTATCCAAAAGGCATACCTCCTGCTGCCCTAAGGCTTGGTAACAGAGAAAACAGGCTCCTAACATGGAACTACAATCTGAGGTTGTCATCCTCACTGAAGGTGAGATTCTTGCCCTTCAGGAAGAGTACAGACCATGGTCCAATCCCACCCTGAAGCAGCAAAGGTTGGAGCTACTGGCCCTGAAGCAGAGCTGAAAACGCAGGGCAGGATGCTAATCTATCTGAGTTCCAACAGACAAAAATAAACCTTCATTCAACAAATCAGCACATCTAAGAATTGAAACAAGTGAACAGATTATTTTCTTTAAATCCACAGCAAAGTGCCTCTTGGACTCAGGCCATAAGAGCACACTTCTGTCTCCTGAGGCCCAGGGGGTTAGGGAAGATGAGCCTTACTCCTCAGTGACCTCCTCAGGTAGCACCTCCCCTCGGAAATGGGCCTTGAAGAGCTCCTGTAGGCAGGAAGCAAGGACAGACAGCTGCTCCGAGTCAAAGTCTTCCTGGTTGGTGAGACAAGGGAAAGGAGGGTATCATGACCTATACTCAAGCCTTACTGCCCCAGAGTTGCTGAGTTCATCTGCTGCCACCTCCGGTATCAGGAAACTCCCTAACCCCGATCAGAGGGGACATCTAGGGAAGGGGAAGGAAGGAGTCAGATTCCAGGAAGACATCTGCGATGGGAAGCTCTAAGCAGGGCAGGCTGGGCTGCTTCCTCCCTAAGGGACCGGGTTCCTCCTCACCTCCAGGACCTGGTCCACGATTTCCTGCATGACCTCACACTGGGCCTCCGTATCACTGCAGTACAGAAGTGAGAGGAAATCTCAGGGACTTAAATGATAGCAGAGGGCAGGACACACTCTCCTAACAGTGTGCATATACACACACATACTCACATGTACTGAGACAAAACAAAGAAGCTCTGTGTAAAGTTCCCACTTGGGTGGGGGAGGTTTTTGGGCAGCATTTGCTGCTCTCTGGACAAAGGCTCAAAGAAAAGGGAAATCCCCATCCATCCTGCTTCAGTTCTCAGAGGCTGTTATCCCCAGAATCTAGGGAGTGGGAACCTGAAGTGTTAAGGAACAGGGCCACCCACAACTAGCCCAGACTCCCCAACATAAATTGCTAAAGACATTTTACAGGAAGCTCTGATTACCTTTCCACACACCCCATCCTATTTCTCTCCACGCCCTATCACCCTGCTACACCTACTAGGCAGCAGGGAGAGCCTGAACTGGACCTCTGAGGGGCAGGGTCTGTACCCACCTTCCCTTCTGTAGCTGGAGCACTTTGTCCCTTAGAGACTCATCCAGCTGGTCAAGGTAAGGAGTGATATCGACTGGCTCCTCCACAACCGTTTCCTTGATGGGGTGGAAGCGAAACTCTCTCTTCTTTCCTGAGGGAGGGGTGAGGAAAGAAGTCAGTTTGCCCAGACATCCCCCTGAAGTATCTGTCCCTTCCTCAGAGCTCTTGATATGCAGCTGCTCACTCAATGCGGTGAGTATCTGACTGCACGTGCCCCACCTCTTACCCACAAATGGGCAGGAACCACATTTTTTACCCTCCTGCCCTTAGTGCAAGGCTCTGCACCCTTGAGTCTCACCCAATAATCCTGTTAACAAAACTAACTGAAAGGGATATGGTAGGATAAAAAGACTGTAGGCAGGCTGCTCCTGTGTAACAGTCCTCTTGGGCTGCCAAACCAAACCACCCCTGCTGCCAGCCTCACCTTTGCTATTGAGATCCTCCTCATCATCACTGAAGGCTGCCTCTGCGTTTTCATAGCAACTTTCATCCTTATCTGACATGTGGTTGTCCATCTCCATGGAAACTGGTTCCTCAATTTTGACTTGGGAGTGAAAAGAGAAAGACCCCTGATGGCCTCTTGTGTCCTCTGATATGCCCTGTGTTTCTGGGAAGGGGAGACTAAATAAAGGGCAATGGGAGAATATGGAATTTGTGGCATAAGTGGATTACTGATCCTGGAAGGACAAACATCTTGTCTTTGCAACCCTTCATCACCTGCAGGGAGATGCTATCAGGAATAGAAGAGCTTGGCTCAGGATGGATAAGACCTAGTGCTCTTTTTAATGTAAAACCAAATGGGTAAGTAGTGCTTGGCTTAAGCCATTATCTAAAAACAAAAAAAGTATGGGAGGGGGCCAAGGGATAGCAACCTAGAATCAGAAGCAAAATTTGACACCCAATGTGACAACCTCTCATCAGGGGCCAGAACCAAGGGGTGGGAAGACAGAAGAGATGGACAAAGTTAAAGTGAGATAAACATTCCATGAAAGCATTTTGCTTAACAAGAAGGGATTAACAAGAAAAAAAAAAAAAAAAAAGAGTTAAGAGAGCCAGAACAATGAATAAAAAAAGTAAGAATAGATGAAGAGAATCAAGGGAGACAACAAAAAAATGGATAGCTGAGAAGTTGGGGGAAGAAAAAACTGAAATGGACAGTTGTTTTTTTTTTTCCCACAGAAGGGAGAACGCCCCAGGGATGACATCCTAAGCAGAGCTCTACTCTGCACCTTAGATATATCTCCCTCTGTCTTTTGACACAGGTGACAGGGTGAAAGGGCTTCCATACCTTCCACAGGTGGGGAGGGTGAGCTGCAGAACTCAGGAAATTTCTCTCGAAGCATGGCCCTCAGCTCTTTATCCAATTTTGGGTTGTCAAACAGAGGAGCCAAGTGTCTAATAGGGAACACAAATGAAGGTCAGCAACAGAGCTCCTCATTTCTAACTCAACACAGAGACAAAGAGAGACCAATCACTACAACTAGGTCATGTTCAGATCCTTCATAGGGGCCAAAGGGGACAGGAAGGTATCTGAAGACCTTTAGAGTATGATGAAGAGAGAAATTCCTTTAAGAGTCAAGAAAACATGTGCCCCTACTTTTTAAACCTGTCAGGGAAAGGGTTAGCAGTGGTATGGCAGTATCTGGATGTGTCTGACCTAGAGGGGACTGGAGCCAATGAGAAATGGGAGAACCTCCTCTTCCCAACTCCCCAGGCCCTTCGCAAAAATTCCTTACGCCAACACCCGCTTTTCCACAATGTGGTTGAGGGAGGAAAAGACACCCTGTCGCACATGGCCCTCCAATGGTGGATAGAAGTTAGGAATGATCTGGAAGGGAAGAAGTGGAGAGAATAAGCACAGGACTCCATCCACAGTGTTCTGCTGGACTAGATCCAAAATGTTTCTTTAGTTTTGGTCAGGAGACACTGGGATAGTATGGATGCGGAGAGGACTGGAGTGTTCTTGACCATAGGCTACAAAGACAGGACATTCTTAGTGGATCCATCTGCTCCTCAAGGAGACTAGATTCTACTTTTGGTCATCATCTTGTGGTTGAGAAACACCAGGGAAACAAAGGCCGATCCATCTACTGATAGTAGGAACATGGAAGGGATGTTCACTAACTTGGGGAGTAGGACTCATGACCACCTGACTTCCCACAGTCAAGGCACATTGGGAAGACCCAATCACTGGGAGACCAGCAGAGATACACCTTCCTCTGCTCATCCAGGAATGGGAAAGAGAAAGGGCCATAGCACTTACACGGCACATGAAGTCCAGGAGTGTGGCAGTGATGGCTGGGTGGGGCTTCATGGAGTGATGCATGACCAGGATGGCTGGCTCTAGAGAATATGGAATTAAAGGATCAAACACTGTTTCCATCTCCAAAAAACACACATCAGTATACATGAGTGACTCTGGGGAGTGCTGTGTCTATTCCCCACATTCTCACTAAGCAGATCCAAGAACAGTCAGCACCCCCGTCCCCCCCAAAAAACACCACTGTTCTCTCTTCTTGTCTTGAGCATTCAGCTTGGAGAAGGGAGGTATGAAGAAAGGAAAAACAGGACATAGCACAGCCTTTTCCTCTGCCCAGACCCTCCCCATCAGAAGCCCAAGCATAAGGTTATGGGAAGAAGGGGGTGGTGTGATTGCATGGCCTGATCAAAGCAATTTTTCTTGTAGGTCAAGGGAGAATGGAGGAGGAACAACGGAACTGCTCACAGATAAGCCACCTCCACTCCACACTGCCCTGAGATTTATGACTGCTGTCACCAGAACAAGGCAGTGGGGGGTTGGTTGGGGGATGGGGAAGTGGCGCTGCCTGGTCTCAGTCACATACCTATGTTCATAATGCTATCCTTGTCTGGACTAAAGAACAGCCAGTCGTAAAACAAAGCCAGTTTGGCATTAGAAGCAGCAACATTTGACTGGAAAGGAGAAAGGAAAAAAAGGTTAGTTTTATCTGCCAGTTCCCTTCCTTTTGAGGATCAGGGCAAATTCCAGGGCCCATTTGGCTGCTCCATCTATGAAACTCAGCTCCCAGTGGAAGAGGGTGGAACCCCATATGGGTAAAGGGGCACACAAGTTTGTGTTACCTTGTGCATATGAGTACCCTACAGTACCAACCAACTGGATAAGGACTGGCCTGAATTCTTCACACATCCAGGAGTACACACCCCTAATTCCCATACAAAGAATATCTAAGAGTTCACTGATTACTCTGAATTGAGGCAACCTTCAGCACTAGTGCCTGGCTGCCCTTCCCAGGCACATTCCTGAAGAAGAAACCCACTAGGAACAGCCTGTTGTCATATCTGAATCAGCACATTCCAAAGACCTAGTTAGATAGGGGAGGAGGAACTGCTTAGAAGAGTTCAGGGGGCAGCTACATGTCAGAGAATGGACAGTTTCCCACCAGGCACAGGGTAGAAAACACAGGGATGGAAATGGCTTCATACTTTGGAGAAGGGAAGTATCTAATGCCAATGTCAAAAGCATGAAGGTGAGGGTCTAAAGAATGCAAACCCTATCCCAGCATCTAGGAGGCTGAGGCAGGGGGATTGTTAGCTTTGAGGCTATATGGTGAGACTCTGTCTCAAAAACAAAACACACACACACACACACACACACACACATCTAGAATGCAAACCCTGGATAAGGAACAATTCAAAGGAATAAGTGTGATTTCTAGATAAGCTAAAAGGAAAATGGCAGAAATGCCTCAGAAATCTAGGCTTTGGGGAGCTGACAACAGGGGTAGATGAGCCTGTTCAATCCCAAACACAGATGAGAATGAGTTAAGAAAATTTCTAGAGACACAAAGGGAGGCAAGGCAAAAGTCTGAGACATTCAAGGGACCACAGTGAAAGGCCTTTAGGGTTCAGATGTCCCTGAAGAGTCACAAAGGATTATGAGAACATGGGAACACGATGGAAAAGGCATCATTCACCACACAATATCCTCTATCCCATGCTTAGCTGCTTACTGTGCATGTTGTTAGGAGCCAACCAATGATGGCCCATCGGGGCAAGATATCCGAACTCAGTACTTCATTAGAAGGGTGGACTACTCCACAGATATATCGAATGAGGTCACAGCGTAAAGACTGACTGTCTGGGGTTGACAGGTACTGGCGCTGGAACCAATCTTGGTATCGCTTTTGCTGACCAAATCGCACCTGGGGAAGAAGTTGGAAAAAGAAAGTTGGAAGGGGCAGTGGAATCCCTGAGGAGAGGAAAATAAGCACCATTCAACTCTAGACTTGACCTAAACCTCCATTTCTTTCCACAGCTTATTCATAAGCTCATTCTGTCTCTCAAATCTGCTCTCCTTTGAGGGTACCCCTTGATTTTAAAAATTATTAAAGTGTGGGTGGCTTACGCCTGTAATCCTAACTACTTGAGAGTCTGAGATCAGGAGGATCAAAGTTTAAGGCCAGCCTGGGAAAATAGTTCTTGAGCCCCCCATCTCCAGAATAACCAGTGCAGAATGGACCGGATGTGTGGCTCAAGCTGTAGAGCACCTGCTTTGCAAGCACAAAGCCCCAAGTTCAAACCCCAGTCCCAGCTGAAAAAAAAAAAATAGTTTTTCTAGCTTGCCTTGCATGTTGGTGATGCATTCACTCCTGCCAACCTGACACCACAATACCCACAACAGCAACTAGTCCACTCTTGGCTCCTTACTCCTGTGCTAGTCACTGATTCTCTCATCATAAACATCAATTATCTTTTCTCATTTTATTGGATCACCGGTCAACAAGGAATGTTTCTCGAGAGCAAAGGCTGAGTCTATTCATCACTTAGCATGCACTGAAAAGCTTCCTGATGCTAAGTGACCTAACAAGAACATTATTCAAGGCACAGACTCTACAAACCCTGTTTGTTTGGTTTTTTTTTTGTGGTACTAGGGCTTGAACTTAGGGCCTACACCTTCATACACCTTCAGCCATTCCACTGGCCCCTTTTTTTTTGTATTGGGTTTTCTTTGCGATAAAGTCTTGTGAACTATTTGCCTGAGCTGGCTTCGAACTCCAATCTTCCTGATCTCTGCCTCCTGAGTACTAGTATTATAGGCATGAGCCACCAGCACCCAACAATGTTTTTATTTTTGGCTTGAACTCAGGACCTACACCTTGAGCTACTCCACCAGCCCTTATTGTGTTAGGTACTTTCGAGATAGGGTTTCTCAAACTATTTTTTTTTTTTTTGGCAGTACTGGGGGTTGAACTCAGGGCCTTCACCTTGAGCCACTCCACCAGCTCTTTTTGTGATTGGTGTTTTCGAGACAGGGTCTCGAGAACTTACTTGCCAAGACTGGCTTTGAACCGTGATCCTCCTGATCTCTGTCTCCTGAGTAGCTAGGATTACAGGCATGAGCCACCAGCGCCCAGCAATTTTAACTTGAATTTAAATTATAACACTTGATTATTGGCTACGACAAAGGACAGCCCAGGTCTTGTCAACTCTCTGGGAAGTCTTGGAAATCTGAAAACTAGCTAGGGTAGTGGTTCTCTAATGTCACACTAACAATAGCCAGTGCCTGTTAAGTGCTAAAACCAGATTCCTCAGTCAGATTCTCTGAGAGAGTGGGACTTATCTATAACATGTTCTGCAAGCAGTTCTACCACTATTCAGCCATGTTTAGAAACCAAAAGGCCAATGAGTTCTTCTTGACACTGCATGGTCCCCTGGAAGAACCACTGGCAGAATGAACATTCCCACTCTACCCTTTTAAACCACAATTTATACTAGTAAATGATATCATTTGTATACAGTTTGGTATGACTCCTTTAGATAAGACTGAAAGCTTCAAAAGAGCTAGAATTCCATTTCTCTTACTCAACAATGTACTCTCAAATCCATAGCACCATGTGCAATGTGTAGGCACAGAATGAATAAAGGAAAGCAGCCAGCAGCTAGGCTGGTGACTCCATGGGTCAGTACTCAGTGGTAACAGATCTGAAGACAGATGCAAGAAACTCAACTAGCACTTGCATCTCCTCTTCCTGCTGCAAAAAAGGTCAGCTTACCCGAGATGTCATGAAGAGGAGCTTTGTCTCCATGTCTGGAGTTAGTCGACATGCTAGGAATTTTCGGGATGTTCTTGATTGAAGAAGCTGTAGAATACCTGAACCATGTGAGGAAGGGAAGAGGAAAGAGAAGCCTGAGGACCAGACAAAACTGGAAGACAAGTGGAGAACCTGAGCCAGGTCCTGATGGACAATAGTCCTTGCTCATGGGGCAATTCTAAAACCAGATCTAAATAAATAAATAAATAAATAAATAAATAAATAAATAAATAAATAAATAAATAAATAAATAAAAAAAACCAGATCAAAGGAGGTCAAGCCTAGGTACCCATGGCTACCCAACCACATCTCAGCTACATTAATTCTCTTCTGCTGACCTTCTGGAGTCCCCTATACACATTACTACAGTTGTCAATAGGTGGAAAAGTTAAGAATACATGGGAAACCCTAGTCTGGCTTATTGCTCCTGATGGTTCCACTATTAGATTCTGGGATCAATGCAATAGGGTATAACCATAACTCAGAATTCAGAAAGAGCTGGATCCAAATCCTGCCTGTCACTTAACTAACAGTGTGGCCTTGAGCAAATTACTTAATCTCTTTGAATCTCAGTTTTTTTATCTGTGAATGGGCAAAATAAAATATCCATCTTACAAGGCTGTCCTGAGGATTAAATGAATTAACAACATATGTGAGCCTAACACAGAAGAGGTACTCAGAAGAACTTGATATATGTTCAAGGTAACAGTGCAATATTAGGTAGCACATTCCTCTCTTCTTTCCTTATTTCCTAGGTCCTGGATGAGTGAGTGTGAGTGTGAGTGTGAGTGTGTGTGTGTGTGTGTGTGTGTGTGTGTGTGTGTGTAAGTGAGATACAGCGATAGTGGTGGAGAGCAAAGCTGTGATTGTTCAGACTATAGCAGGACCCTGGGAAAGGGAAAGGGACATCATAAGGACCTTGTCAGGGGGGAGCACAGAGATTCTTTCTCTCCCCTAAAGAGAATTTTGGCCAAGCTGGAACCTTGGAATTAAAGGCCAGACTGATCCCAGGGAGAGGCCAGCTCTCTTCCCCCTTCCCCCTTTCTGGTGCTGGAGATTGAACCCAGGGCCTTATGCAAGTTAGGCGAGCACTCTACCACTGAGCTACATCTCTAATCCAGGGGGCCATCTCTTACTGGACTAATTCTAGACTGTCTGCTGACTCAGTCTCATGAGTTGACCTTTAACTCCCTGCCTGAGTCAGTAAAGCTGGAGAATGGTCATCAGCTTACCTCCTGAGCCAAGAACAGCTAGAAAGGGAAGAGGATCACAGTTCACTATCTCAATTTTTTCTTCCTTGGCAGTACTGGGGGTTGAACTCAAGGACCTTGAGCTTGCTAGGCAGGTTCTCTGTCACTTGAGCCACTCTGCCAGCCCATCTTACTTTTTTCTTAGGAGTAATGACAGCTGGTGCCAGCCAAGTAGGGTCTGTCTAGGAACCACATGAATTATTCTGTGCCTCTGCAATTCCCACATCCAGCTATACTTGGCAAAGCCTGTCCTATCTTAAGCTGACTCCCAAAGCTCTTACCCACCAACTCTGCCCTCTTGATTCACACAGGATATATACACTGACCTGCCCCCTTTCAAGGATAGAATGGGAAGGGCTGGTGGAGTGGCTCAAGTGGTAGAGTGTATGCCTAGAGAGCATGAGGCCCTGAGTTCAAACCCCAGTACCGCAAAAAAAAAAAAACTCAAGGATAGAATGCCCAGGTTCTTACTTACCTGTGAACTGAGGACTCAAGGCCTGAGGGTTATGAATTATATCTTTCCAAAGCAGTTCAAATTCTGGTATCCTAGCAACATTCTGAAGTAGTCTCACAAGGTCCCGACCAATCATCAAACATTCCATGAACTTGATGGGGCAGAGGGGAGGTGGGGGGTGGGTAGGAGGTAGAAGCAGGGGAACAGGAAAGAGAATAAAAACAAAGATTGTATACCTTCTGGAGGGAAAACGAAGGAACAATATGTTCTAAGAGGGAAGGAAAGAGGATTGAAAGGACTGTATGATTTCTTTTGAAATCAAGGGATTGGCTATTTGAGGACTGATACAAGGAATCAAGGATAAGGTTACTGTGAAGTGTTGAAGTCCTATTGCTTTCACTCTAATCTACTCTCCTCTCCAAACAGAACTGTTTCATCCAATTCAAAAGAAAATAAAATTCCAAAAGGATGAGACTGGAAAGTCAAGCCTCAGACACCCTACCTCAAACTCCTTGTCTAATAGAACATTTCATGGTAATGGAAATGATATATACCTGTGCAATCCAAACAATACTGATTAGCAATATGTGGTTAATGCAATAAGAAACTGAATTTTACAATTTTATCTGATATTAATTTTAATTGAAGCCAACAAATGCGGCCAGTGGCTGGCTACCGTATTAGTGTAGCTCTAGGATGTCTCTCTTGGGAGATATGATAGTAGATAACCATAATCTTATCAGCCATGACACTCAGTTGGGAAGTGGGGGTTGCCATAACAGTAGACACACAAATGTGTCTATCGTAAGCAATGTTCTTGAAACTGACCAAAAAAATTTCCAGAATGCCAGGTGGCATTTCTAGTAACTAGGGCTATTCCACACTGATTCCTCTTCATTTCTCCCCTTGCCTGTCTAAACATAGTGAAAAAACACCAGATATTGAACTATCTCCATCTCTAACACGACATCTCTGGCCCAAGTGGATAAAATCTATAGTGGTATCCCATCCTGGGTCTCATTTCTCCATATTGATTTTGTCCTCTTCCCTCACCCGTTCCCGAAGCAGTGAGATACAGAAGTCCACTTCTTTCTGTCTCAGGGCCTGGAGCTGGGCCGTCCCATGGTGGTCCACGATGAGGCGGAGGTATGTATAAACAGCCATGGCAATGAGGATGCTACTCTTCAGCACCCACTCCCTGCAGGAAGGGAAGATACTATACCTATAGTCAGTCTAAACCCACTCATCCTCCCAATTCACCTGCCTGGACTTGGCTCTAGTGCCTCAGAAATGTGTGATGATCAGAGACTGGGAGAAGGTACTTTTTTTTGCTTAATTACTCATGCTGTTATTATCTATCTTCAACTACCAACCAGCTAAGGTAAGGATAACTTACTAATTTTCTCTACTAGGTGCCAAAGACTGGTGCACACCTCAAGTGTTAGAGTGCTTGCCTAGCATGTGTGAGGCACTGGGTTCAATCCCCAGTACCAGGAAAAAAAGAAAAAAAAAAGATAGGTACAGAATGAAAATAATCCCTCTTCACACAGAATTACTTATGTAGTTTCCAATAAAATAATTTTGTTTGTTTTTGCACTGATTGAAACATTTACAAGGTGTCTATCATGTGCCAAGTAATGTGTGAGGTACTAGGAACAGCAATGTCAGTTTCTCCCTGACTTAGTTATGGGGGAAAGTTTGTAAGTCAGTAGCTCTTAAGTGTGGTAGAAGGACCTCTGGGGATTCCCAAGACCATTTTGGGACATGGAGTTCTTAGAACACATTGTGCTAGCCCTTCTATCAAGCTTGTAGCAGCCTACCATGCTATAAATCTTTCCCTAGCTCTATAACCAGTGATGCTACCCTCAGACAATGAGTCACCTGCCCTAAATCACATTCTGAAAAAGAGAATCTGATTTTGGATGGCAAAGCCCATTTCCCCAGGAGTTTTAGAATTTCCCAAGGGAAAATAGTGTAATGAAAAATTATTTGCTCCCATATACCCCATTATGCGCTTTAAAAGGATTTTTTTACATAGCAGGAGGAGTCCTAAAATCCTAATGCTGTCTCCAAGTATGAAAATTGGGGAGCAGTCCCCCCATATAATAGTTTTTAATGGTTTTGGCACCCCTGCTGGAAGGCAGGGAACTGGAAGGAGAAGACAGGGAGCTTAATTAATCCAACCAGGCAACATCCTGATTCCGGAAAAGTGCTCAAGCCACCTAATTAAAAGGCCTGGCCTTTTCCTTTCACAAAATAAAAACACTAGCCAAGAACACTGGGGCAGGTTCTCTCCCCTCACATGCTACTTTTTATTCCCACAGCCCTGAAACACTTGGAAGGGGGTTAGAAGGAGGGTGTGGATAAGACAGTTTAAAACTTTGAGGTACTCTGTCACCAAAACATGTGAACTTGAGGGGGTACAGATGGAAAGGGTGGGGAAGGGAAGCTATATGGTTACTATTTAACACCTGTATGGGAAATTCAGCTTGAAAGTATGGAGACAGAAAATATCTGGCACCAGGAACAAAATGAGAAAAAAACACTTTTTAGGAAGATTGCTAGCAAAGGTGATGAATAATCTGAACCCCAGGATGGCATAATGAAGAAAAAGAGGGATAAAAGTGAGGTCCTCTACTTTCAGGACACAGAGACGCAAGAGAAGCAGGGACTTGATAAGAGACTGCTAGGCTCTCCCGTGTTGGTACCAGACCTACTGCAGCTGCACAAACACATTCAGAGCACTAGGTGGCACTGCACAGCAGGCCTGCTTGGCTCTCAGGCTTGGGCAGAACATAGCATACACAGCTGGCCCTTTCACAGGGTGAATTATGGGTGGAGGTCTGTTTCTCTAATTGAAGATAAAATGGACACTATAGCCCTTTCAATCATTTGACTATTAAATGTCCTTACCCAAAGGGCCTCTGAAATTAATTACAGGACCAAAGGGGAAGGCCTTACACCAAAATTCAGATACGGAAAAGCCCACATATCATTTCTGGTCCTTTACTTTGATGAGGAAGGGAAAGAATCAGTCAGGAGATCCCATATACCCCATTATGTTCTCTCTACCACTGAAGCCTCCAAGCCCTATATGCAAACTCTAGTAGGATTTACTGATCTCTATGCCTCCTCCCCCGACTATCCCTGGACCATTCCAAAAAAGAACATGTATGGACTGAAAGGATTGGGAGGAGAGATACCTGCCAGGCCTGTGCGGTTGGCTGGCCCCACTCTGCTGAGCTCATTCTCCCTCCACCTCCCCCCCAAAGATAAACATTCCAAGGAGGTCTGGATCAAAAATAAACCCTTATCAGATGAAACCAGTTTTTCCTGGGCTCTGAGATATTTTAGCAAGGGCCTTCTTTTCCACTCTTTCATTCTTTGGGGGCATACTATAACAATTACTCCATTTGCCACCAATATACTTGCCCCTCCCTCCCCTCAAACTTAAGAGGTTGTTGGGCCACATAATTCTTTCTTCCTCATTTTCCATAATCATACCCCTTATGGCCATATCTGAGTCTTGTCCCACCCTTCATGGTAGACTCTACCTCTGCTCCGTCAGGATATCCAGAACACTTTCTGCCAACCAGATATTTTTGGCTGTAACATCTCCACCTAATTTCAAAGGGCAGGGGGGAAGGGAGAGAGAGAATCAGAATACAGTAGCTCTGATTAGTAACTCAACAAACCCAATATATCTCTTTGCTCATCCTTCTGGTCCATCCCATTATCCCATCACTGCTGAATACTAGGATAAACTAACTTCTCTTCTGTTCAGCTTTAAAGTTTTCCCCCTTTGCCTTGAGACAGAAGTAAAGGGAATGTTCTGGACTTTTCCAGAAAACAGAGCTAATACTAGGAACATCGTGCCCCTTCAAAAGGTATATCCAAGACAAGGAGACATGAGAACACCACAAATGGAAAGCAAGGATAACATCTCAAACAGGGCCTGAGAGGTGCAGGTAGTTGGCAGTAACTATAGTCCACTATCTGGATATCCTGGGTCCTGTGCTTAGGCTGTTATCAGGCCAAGGGTTTCTTGTTTCTAGACATCAGTCTTCAGTTCTTGCTATGGAACTTCCCGGGGCAGAATTAACATGCAGTGATGTCAGACCAAAGTCTTGGGATGAGAAGTGGGGGCTGGGAGTGCCAAACAGGGAAGAAAGTGTCAGGAGAGAGGAAAAAATATCCAGCCCAACAATGCTATACCTTGCCCCAGGTACCAATTAAAAAATTCAATGTTATGGGCTGGTGGAGTGGCACAACTGGTACAGAACCTGCCTAGCAACTGCAAGGCTCTCCATTCAACCCCCAGTACCACACCCCCAAAAAAACTCAATGTTCATGTAAGTCACACATCACATAGATTAGCAATCATACATCAGAACAGGGGCACTGATGTTACATAAAATCCTATAAAAGGCGGGCACCAGTGGTTCACACCAGTAATCCTAGCTATTCAGGAGGTAGAGATCAGGAGGATCTCAGTTGGAAGCCAGCCTGGGCAAATAGTTCTCAAGACCCTATCTTGAAAAACCCATCACAAAAAAAGGGCTGGTGGAGTAACTCAAGGTGTAGGCCCTGAGCTCAAACCTCAGTATTACAAACAAACAAACAAGAAAACCAAACTAAAAAAAAAAGTAAGTCACCAATGAGTAAACGGTGAGGTAAAGCAATGGGGTCATTTTTAAATAAACACATGTAATCTCAAGAGTAGAAAAGGTAGTTCAGGCATGCCTCTTTTATATTCAGTGGCTCAGACAGATGTCACGGATGCCAAGATAATAATAAAGTCTAAATGTCAGGGTCTGTTCTGTGACATCATTTGTCTCTCAGATTGGCCCCAGTCAGATATCACAATTATTAGGGAGCAAATGCTTAGAACAGAGACTTGGAGCCAGTTAAGGTACTTGGATTTCGGAATGCAAAACAACATGGGAACAAAGTATTTTCCTTCACTTCTCCCCATTCCTTCCTGATTCAGAATGGCACTAAACCCTAGAGAGAAGACCAGCTAAAATAGGTCAAATATTCTGTTAAGTCTGGATTTGTCAAGCAAGAAAATGAAGCAAGATTTATTGCTGCCAAAGGCCCCTTGTGATTTTTTCAATTTCTTCCTATGACAGATGTGGCCAGGAGATGTCTGCATCAGATGGACAGAGTCTAAGCCAAGGCACCAGTGACTCATGCCTGTAATCCTAGTTACTGAAGAGGCAGAATCAGGAGGATACAGGTTCCAGGCCAGTCTAGGCAAATAGTTCAAGACACCCCATCTTGAAAATATCCAACACAAAAAAGGGCTGGAGGATTGGCTCAAGTGGTTAACAGCACTTGCCTAGCAAGTACCACCAAAAGAAAGATAAAAAGTCTAAGCAACAAGGAATCAAGTTCCTTAGTCATTTCCATTGCCTCCACCTCCACCTACTCTTTGGCTCCTCCGCTTTCTTCTTTATGCTCCTGCCATCAAACTCACCTGCAATCTGCTTCATAAATGTCATGCAAACACCATCAGCTCCCAGAACCCCACTCTTCACTAGTTCCCGTACCAACCACACCAACTAAAGGAGAGAGGAAAAGACATGAAGAGCAGTGCCTGTGAGTTTGAAAAAGGAGCTAATTCAATCACATTACAATTAGGTACGCAATGGTAGGGGTAGGGTGTACGGCCCCCCTTTTAACCCCAGTCACTCCTCCCTCCCTTCACTGTGAGAGGATCCATCCTCATTGTTAAGACTTTGAACTGAATTCTCTCCTTTTTTTTGCTGGTGATGGGACCCAGGGCCCTTGTGCATGCCGAGCACACACACTACTGATGAGATACACCATCACAGCCCCTGGATCTTCTCTTTTCTTTCTGGCCTTACCTGAGTACGGCAGGTATCCTGCAACTTCAGGTACTTCTCCATAAGTATCTGGTTGATTTTATTCAAGACAATATTCATGCCATCACGACTCACCAGAGCCAAGTCCCGGTAACACTGTGAGAAGTGAGTAAGCAGCCAGTAAGCTGAGAACAAGGCTCCTGACCCCACCCATAGTGGACCCCCTCTTAAAATTAAATAACACCAATGGTATACTGAATGGCAATGAAATACTTTCTATTATGGATACTTTCCTTCCATAGGGATCCTCTAGCCTAAACCTACTCTTTGCTCTGTCTCAGAGAGTAGGAAAAAAGGACTGAACTATTCTCTAATAAGGAAGGAAACCCTGCTGGGCAAAGCTCCTACTCCTATCCCTGTCCCCACCTCCCTTCTGAGGAAGTGTCACACTGTTTGATGCCACAAGCTGAGCAAAACCAGGTGGAGGCCATCTGCTTTTAATCTGCCAGTAAAAGGTCACTGCAGAATGGGTTTGGTTGAACAAGCCAAGAAGGAACCCAGAGGTTTCTAGATCTGCTCTGACCCAGACAAATGCAGCAAAGGGAGTATTAATGGATCAGAGCCCTGGATGGAAAGGACAAAACCCAAACTCAAACTGCTGGATGTCTGTAATCTCAGCATTCCGGTACTGAGGAAAGACCAACAGTCTTTCCTCAAGGTCAGCTTGGGCTACATGGTGAGACCTCTCCTAAAAAACAACTTTCTTCTTCTCTTTTAAGTATTGCTGGACCTTGCACACACTATGCAAGCTCTCTACCACTAAGGTACATCCCCAACCCTAAATGTCTTCTTTGGTGTGGGATGCCATTTACTTTTGCCAAGTACTGAAAGAGGAAGGGTACCCAGTGTGGTGGTGCATATCTATAATCCCAGCACTTGGGAAAGGGAAAGAGGAAGGCTTTAAGTTCAAGGTGAGCCTGGGATACATAGTGAGTTCAAGGCCAGCTTAGAATACATATTAAGATCCTGTCTCAAAACAAGACAAAACAAAATAGGAAGGAAGGGAGGGAGAGAGGGAGGAAGGGAGGGAGGAAGGGAGGAAGGGAGGGAGGGAGAAAGGGAGGGAGGAAGGGAGGAAGGGAGGAAGGGAGGGAGGGAGGGAGGAAGGGAGGAAGGGAGGGAGGGAGGAAGGGAGGGAGGGAGGAAGGGAGGGAGAGAGGGAGGAAGGGAGGGAGGGAGCCTCACTCATATCCCTGGGGGAGGTAAGGAAAGACAGGCAGTTTTTTCTGTAAGAGTCATTGCTTTCCTTCTCCTTAAAGTTTTTTTTACCCTGACTCTCCAGTGAAATCAGACTCCTGGAGGAATACCTTAGGGGATCTCACTGGCAGCCTCCTTAGCCTGCTGAGTTCTAGTCTGTAAGGGTCTCAAGTAAAAGGATAAAAAGCAGATAGGTAGCTTCCTAGGCAGAAACTTCTGAAGGCCAATAACAAAGATGACACTAAGAATAGTAACAATAATAAACTGGGTATAGTGGCATATGCCTATAATCCCAGCCCTGTGGAGGAGGGCTAAAGCAGGAGGATCGAGTGTTTGAGGCCAGTCTGGGCTACATAGCAAGACCCTGTCTCAAAAAACAAAAAGCAAACACCAAGAACAAAAAAGAAAGGCTGGCAGAGTGGCTCCAGTGGTAAAGCATAACAAGAACAAAAAAAGAACAACAATAATAGCTAACATTCCTTGTTCTTGGGCACAAACTTCGCATTATATATAGTTCTGCATTTGATATATATATATATAAAACACAACCCTTTGAAATAGGTACAATTTATTACTATCTCTATTTTTACAGATTGGGAAACAGGCATAAAGGGATTAAAGGTCACTTATGAAAGTAGAACAAGAACCAAGATTAAAATTCAGACAGTCTAATTCCAGATTCCATGCTTAACTACCTCTTATATCAATATTAGAAGTAACCAAAAGGAAATGAGACTGCTGGGGATGCAGGTAAGAATTTGTGATGGCTTTGAAGCAACTACATTTCTAAATGCTGTCGCTCAAAGTCCTGAGTTCAAACCCTAGTCCCACAAAAAAAAAAAAAAAAAAAGAAAGAAAAAAATATAAATGCTGTCATCCCAAGCAATCAGGAGATGCATCCTCAAGACTAGCCATTCTTTGGCTTAAGTGTGATGAGGGTCTCCTAAGAGACTCTTGTCCCTTCCTCCTGCTTCTTTTGTCCCTAAGCCAAACCAAATGATCTGACAAAAATATCAAAAGTTAAGAGGTTCCTCCATAAACTTTTCATACCCAAAGGAGAATTTATCCTCTCATGGTGAGAGATCAAAAAACCAAATAGAGAACAAGCAGGTGATAAAGAGCCCAGTGTCACTACTGCCAATGTGCTGGTTAGCAAATTAGATAGTTATACCCTGTAGCCTCCTCAGAGGTAAGTCACAGAATGGGTAGAGAGCATAAGGGAGCAAGAGATAGAAGAAAAATCTGTGTTAAACCAAAGACAGAGACACTGCTAACCTCAGAGGAACCTCATCTGTTCAAATAAAAGCAGAAATCCCAGATATTTGGGAAACACCCAGGATGGAGAAGGAGGACAAATATCTGAGGCCATACAGGCTCAGATGAAGAGAAAAGATACTCTCTGCCTAATTCCATGCTCCACTGGGACCTTTATCAACCATAACTGCTGGTAACACATGGCATCTGGGTACCAAGGGTATCATATTTCTGATGCTGCCAGCTATTTTAATAAGTTCTGTGCCAGTCTGCTGACTGGTATGGAGGAGAAAGAGATGGGAAGAAAAACAAAACAAAACAAAACAAAAAAAACCTCATCAAGCTGCCAAGAGAGAAGATGCAAATTAAGAGAGAAGAGTGATGTTCTAATCCAGGCCTCCATAAGCCTCCAGCCTTCTTTCTGGAGCTCTCGGCTGGAAGAAGCACCTAGACCAAGAAATGCCTGGGCCTGGATCCAGGACCCTTAGAGACCTTGACAAAGATGTTACTTATATCTTTTCCAATTACCTTTATCTACCTACTAACTGCTACAGCCTGAACAGCTTAGGCCTCCAACTCAGCCTCTCTCATTACCACAGTTCCCAAACCACCTCTACTCCTGGCTGTTTAGTTCAGACACCAAATGGGAAATAAGTAACTCAAAGAATATAAACATTCATAAGAGCTGCCAAGAGGGAAGAGCAAATCAAGAAGGTACAACTGGGACAAAATCCACCCCCTACATATTTTACTCTTCCAACACCTTAGCTGCTCTTTCTTTAACTGCGTCCTCTTGCTCACCTGTTTAATCCACCCAGTCCTGTTCACTAGGAAGTCCAAAGCTGATCTTAACTCCTGAACCTGTCCATCAGTACTGGCAGAGGATTCTCAGCTCATGCTTTCTTTCTCTTTTTCTTTTTGGCAGTACTATAGTTTGAACTCAGGGCCTCATGCTTGGTAGGCAAGTACTCCACCACTTAAACCATGTCTCCATTCCATTTTGCTCTAGGGTCTTGCTTTATTTATTTATTGTTTTGGTGGTACTGAGGTTTAAACGCAAGGCCTCACTCTTGGTAGGCAGTCACTCTACCACTTGAGCCATTCCACCAGCTCTTTTCTGTGATTATTTTTGAGACAGGGTCTTGCCTTTGTTGCCCAGGCTAGCCTTGAACCTTGATCCTGCTATTTATACCTACCACATAGCTAGGACAATAGAATGAACCATTATGGCCAACTTACTGGTTGAGATGGGGTCATGCTAATCTTTTACTGGCCTCACAATTTCCACCTCCTGAGTATCTGGGATTACAGGCCTAAGTCACCCCAGGGCAAGTTTCTAACGTGTTTAAAAACTCAGTTTTCCTACTACCCTCTTTATCATATCTGCCTCTTGTCTTTCCGCCTGTGGAGACTGAGGAATAACCGAATCTCAAATCCATCCTATTAACCTCAAATAAACCTTTAGAAAACAGTTCACTTCTTAAAGCTGATTAGTCTTTATCACTAACTCCCACCCAAAACTTCTGTAGCACAGAACTATTTCAAAAGATAATTACCCTGCTACATAGAAGGATCAAAACACTAGGCAGATTCATCATTAATTCTTCTACCACACTCTGACCCTGTTCAAGGTCTCCAAGTGAGTCACTACCTGATAGCTCTTTATTCACCTAGAACCATGTTTCTCCTAATTTCTTTTTCCGCCAGCTTTGTCTGAAGAGGCCTGACCTGGAGACTCAGTACAACCAGGCTCACAGGCAGAGGATTTACTTGGAAACCTTTAGCATGTGAACACGAATTCTGGCACAGCTGTCAATCACTTAAAGACCCAAGATGAGGTATTTTTATCTCCCCAGAGAGCACGTACCTCCCTCACAGGCCTGTCACAGTGTAAAAGGAAGAGGAGTGGTCTGGCCCTTGCTGGGTCAGGATGGCCAAACTCATGACATAATAAACGTTTACAATGCAGAATCTGACAAGCCAGGCAAAGAACCGGAAATACACACCCTGGCTCTTCACTGAGGTTTACTAATACATCCTGGCTGATTCAGAGCTCACATGAAACAAACAAACAAGCCTTTCCTCCAGGCAAGACTGATCTGCACTGTGGTGACTAAATAAGACTTTGTTCTTATCTTGTTTGTTTGTTTGTTTTGTGATACTGGATCAAATCCAGGGCCTCACATATACTACACAAGGATTCTATCACTGAGGTACATCCTCAGCTCTTGAATCAGATTTTAATTATAATGTTTATAAAAATCCATACAAGAGAAAATTAAACCTTAACCCCAATCCTTTTATCCTCACCTTTGCCAACAATTTATTTAAAACCAATGGGATCATAATACTATTTAACACCACCAAATTGGAGACATTCCTATCTTTCCAAGGATCTTAATGATAAATTCAATGTGAAAAAGAAATAGCCTAAATCCCAGCTACTTGGGAGGCAGGGATGGGGAGGATCTTCTTGCCAGCCCAGGCAAAAAGTTACTCAGATTCCATTCTCAACAAAAAAGCTGGGCTTGAGCTGGAGGTGAGGCTCAAGCAGTACAGCACTTGCTTTGTAAGCACAAAGCCCTGAATTCAAAACCCAGTCCCACAACAACACTAAGAAAAGCTGGGCTTAGTGGCACCCACCTATCATCCCAGGATGAATCAGTAGGACTGAAGCTCAGGTTAAAAAAAAAAAAAAGTGAGACCCTACCTGAAAAATACCTAAGGCAAGCAGCCTGGCAGAGCAGCTCAAGTGGTAGAGCACCTGCCTAGCAAGCATGAGGTCCTGAGTTCAAACCCTAGTACTGCAAAAAATAAATAAATAAATAAATAAAATAACTAAAGCAAAAAAGGCTGGATGCAGCTTAAGTGGTAGAACACTTGTCTAGCAAGTATGAGGCCAAGTTCAAGAATTCAACCTCCAGTACCACAAAAAAAAAAAGAAGAAAGAAAATGAAATAGTGATTTTTATTCTACAATGTCCCAGCCCAAAATGGCCTGGACTCTCTCCTGGGAAACCAAGGATTTGGATACTTGCTGCCCTACCATCTTACCCTCACCCCAGATTCTATTCCAGCTGCCATAAGAAATACAAACACACCAGGTTCCCATGCCCATAAATCCTTCCCCTGAAGTTAATTCAAGCAACTATGCCAGAGACTATGAAGCATCCTGTTCTCATCCTTGGGAATGAGTTTCCTTTGGTTATCACTTAACAAGCAACATGTCTAACATCCACATTACCTTACAGGTAAATGCAACTGTTTTGCAGGGAGGGGATAAAGGTATCAAACTCACATGGTTTTTTTGGAAGCATCAAATGAGATCTTCTATGGATAGAGCCCAAAAGAATGCTATGCAAAGAGTATGTCTGTTTCCTTCTACATCACCTTTGTTCATGGAAAAGCCAAGGAGATACTGAATTTCCCTGATTCTGAGCTCTTCTCTTATTCCTGTCATACAGTTCAAGCCAGATTCCAGACATACTTTAAATTATTATGCCAAAACTGGTAGGGGGAAATCTGGAGAGGCAGAAGACTAAATGTTGCCACTTTATCATAAAAAAAAGAATCCAAGGAAATTATCCTGCCTGGTCCCTCAACAAAGGAATCTACTTAAACCATTCTGCATAGAAGAGCCTCTTCTGTCTGTGAAAAGCTGCAGACTAGGCTTCCTGCAATATTCCTTAGGAGGTCAGACTCCAGCACACTCCAGTGCTTTGTTACTGTTACTGCATAAGGTATATAATATTAAGCTGTCTAAATTACTTGCTGCAATTTCTTTCTTTCTTCTTTTTTTTTTTTTTTCAGTACTGGGCTTGAACTCAAGGCCTTCACCTTGAGCTATTTCACCAGCCCTATTTTTGTGAAGGGTTTTTCGAGATAGGGCAAACTTCATTTGCCTGAGCTGGCTTCGAACCAAGATCCTCCTTATCTCTGCCTCCTCAATGGCTGATCTCTTCCTCCTCAGTGGCTGATCTCTGCCTCCTCAGTGGCTAGGATTATGGTGTGAGCCACAGCGCCCAGCAACTTGCTGCCATTTAAGCCCTTTTTCTATTCACCTGCTAATGACAGAACTTGCAAACTACAAGCACTGCCCTTCAGAGTAAGAATTCTCACAGAGCTGGTTATACTTGGTGTCTTCTCTTCCCCAAAATAAATCCCAGCCATTTGAGTCTTGCAACATACACCTGAAATTTAAATCTGGAAGTGTTTTTTTCACTTTCACAACTACCTTTTCTTGCCTTTTAGCTTCAGAATCTGGGGACAGAAAGGACTTCAGTCAGAGAAAAATCAATTCACTGAGAATAAGATAAGGGAGTTTAAATTACATATGAAGAACAAGGTGATTCAGCTCTAGTCAAAGGGTCAGATACAAATCCAGTTAAATGGTAAATTCCACCATATTCCCAGATCATGTCTGAAGAGGGTCCAGGGCAGGTATCTTACCTTCTGAGCTTGGGCAGGTTCAGTGAGGACAAGAGTAAACAGACCCAAGCAGATTTCCTCATGCTGGGGGGGACCTTTACATACCTGGAAGGTGAGGAAGGAAAAAAAAAAAAAAAAACAAAAAACTAGTTGTCATTCATGAGTACAACGTTCAAGCACAGTTTCCCTCAGAATACTTGGGACCCCTGGGTATCATGCAATGAAGAATGATCAACTCTTAAATTTCATGACTTCCTTCTCTTAAAAGGGATGAGGCACCGATGGTTCATGCCTATAATCCCAGCTACTTGGGAGGCTGAGATCGGGAGGATAGAGGTTTGAGGCCAACCAGGGCAAATAGTTGGAGAGACCCCACCTCCAAAAATAACCAAAGCAAAATGGACTGGAGGTGTGGTTTAAGCAGTAGAGTGCTTGCTTTCCAAGTGGAAAGCCCTGAGTTCAAACCCGAGTCACACACACACACACACACACACACACACACACACAAAATTCATCCACACAGATTAATACAAATGTAAAAAATAAAATACTTTTGAGAAGGATTTGTGAAGAAAAAAACTATTACAGAGCCGGTGGAGCAGGTAAAGTGGTAGAGCACCTGCCTAGCAAGCAGGCCCTGAGTTCAAACCCCAGGTCCACGCAAAAAAAAAAAAAAAAAAACTATTACAGAACTAAGTTTTTTAAAAAGTTATTATTGAGCCAGGCACTGGTGGCTCATGCCACCAGTGAGTGTAATCCTATCTACTCAGGAGGACTGCAGTTCCAAGCCAGCCCAGGCAAATAGTTCATGAGACTCTATCTTGAAAAAAGTCCATCACAAACAAAGGGCTGGCGAAGTGGCTCAAGGTGAAGGCCCTGAGTTCAAACCCCAGCACTACCAAAAATGGTTATTATTTAAGGTAGGAATGGTGATACGTGCCTGTAAATCCAGCACTCAGGAGGGTAAGGCAGGAGGATCATGAGTTCAATGCCAGCCTGAACCTGTTGTTATTTAAAATTTAAAGATGTTTAATTTAAAGATGCCTAAGGTTCAAGGAGATGGAGTCCTGCAGTGAGAGAGCAGTTGGGAAATCTGGATCAGAAACCAAGACCTGAACATCAGCCTCCTAGCTCCTAGCCACTTAAGTCTTTCCATGTTTCTGATTGTGTGCCAGAGCTTTCCTAGAAGCAGAAATAGATGTGAGAGCACAATACTTACATAGGCATTGAGGGCATCATTGGCCTCTCTTTCGGAGACACCAGTCGTCATTGACGTCACAATGCTCATACACCTTTCCAGTCTCTGGGAAGAGGTGAGAGAAAATTAATAGCATGTCATGTCATAAACACCATCTAAGAAGTACTTCTGACTCCAAAACAGTTAATTAAAAAAAAGAAAAAGAAAAAAAAAAAGCACTCTTACAGTAGAAGGGCAACTAATAAATGTAGAAGCAATGGCAGGAGTAATAGTTTATGCAGGCAAATAAATGAGGGAAAATGTGGAAGATGTTACCTTAACCAAGAGTTAATATCACCAACAGTGAGACAAATTGACACCACATGCCTTTACAATGCACTGAAGATAGCCCATCCCAAATTCTCAGGAGGCTGAGGTAGGAAGATTACTTAAGTTCAGAAGTATGATACTAACCTGGTGAAACCCATCTCAAAATAAATGAATAGCCAAGTGTGGTGTGGCTTACCTGCAATCCTAACACTTGGGGAGGTTGAGGCAGAAAGAGATGTTCAGCCTGGGCTACACAGTGAGGCCCTGAATAATTTTTCTAATTTTTTTTTTTTTTTTTTTGTGGTACTGGGGTATCAGACTCACACTTGCTAAGCAGGCACTCTACCACTTGAGCCATGCCCCTGGTCTAGTTTGCAATTATTTTTAAATTGCTATTAAAAATTAAAGAATCATGGCTAGCAGAGTTGTACAAAGATAGAGCTTCTGCCTATCAAGCATGAGGCCCTGAGTCCAAACCCCAGTACCACCAAAAAAAAAAAAAATATATATATATATTAAAGAATCATTATCAACTAAATATAAAATATAGATCTTGATTACTTACTTGAAAAAAACCAATGATAAAAAGAATTTAGAGACTGGGCACTGGTGTCTCACACCTGTAATCCTAGATACTCAGGAGGCAGAGATCAGGAGGATCAAGGTTCAAAGCCAGCCCAGAGCAAATAGTTCCCAAGACCTATCTCAAAAACCCCATCAGAAAAAAGGGTTGGTGGACTGGCTCAAGGTGTAGGCCCTAAGTTCAAGCCCCAGTACCACAAACACACAAAAAAGGACCCTTATCTCCAAAAAGACCAAAGCAAAATGGGCTGAAGGTGTGGCTCAAGCAATAGAGCACCACCCACTTTGTAAGCTCAAAGCTCTGAGTTCAAACCCCAGTGCAACAAAAAAAAAAGAAAAAGCAATTTGAATGCTGACCTAGTATTGATTATATCAAGGAATTATTGTTATATTATTTTTTTGCACAGTATGATAAAATTTAAGCAAAAACTAGGAAGCATGAAGCCGAGTTCAAACCCCAGTCACACCCCTCCCCCCCAAAAAAAACAAAAATAGAAAGCAGTAGCCAGAAAACAAAAGAAAGAAGTGGGGAGGCAAAAAGATAACCATGAGAACATGGGCTTCTAGAAAAGTCTCTTTACTTTTTCATGTTTGAAATGTTCCCATCCCTACAATGTTAAAAACAAACTTAGAAAACAATGAGTGTGAGCCAGGCGCTGGTGGCTTACTCCTGCATCCTAACTACTGAGGAGGCAGAGATTAGGAGGATTGAGGGGAACCAGCCTGGGCAAACATTTCTTGAGAGAGTTACCTTGAAAATACCCAACCTAAAACAGGGATGGTGGAGAGGCTCAAATGGAAGAGCACCCGTGAGCCCAGGGGTCAAACCCCAGTGCTGCCACACAAAAAAAAAAAAAAAAAAAAACAAACAAACAATGAGTGTGAGGAAAGAAAGGAGCAACAGAGAACAAAAGGCCAAACCAAAACCTAAAGGTCTTCAGTTAAAAAAAGGTGGAAACAGCTGTATTAAAGCCAACCCAAAGGCCCTTCTCAGTTAAAGGCCACCTTAACATGGCACCCTGCTCAATATTCTACAGAGGTCTTAAGTCACTGGTCCCTATTCTGAAGAAGCATTTGATACCATATACTGATAAAAAAAAAAAAAACACAAAAAACTACATATTGATAAGATAATGATGAAATGTATCTCATGTCAAACCAGAGCCTCTCTGTTATCAACATCTAAACTATTTCCTGAGTCCTTTAGGAAAACCAATTTCCAGTGATTATGATGATGGCAAAACTAGGACAAAGGCACACTGGTTTACTTCTAAGATCCACTTGATTTTAGAGGCTATAACAAAACATACAGGTGAAGAGGTGGGAGTGCTCAACTATAATCCCAGTTACTTAAGAGACGGAGACAGGAGGATCCCAAGTTGGAGGCCAGTCTTGGCAACTTAGTAAGACCCTGTCTCAAGATAAATTGTTTTTGTTTGTTTTGTCATTTTTACATTTAATTACATGTGCATACATTATTTGGGCCACCTCCCCCCACCCCAGATAAATTGGTTTTTGATGAGCTGGCAGAATGGCTCAAGTGGTAGAGTGCCTGTCTAGTAGCGTGAGGCCAGAGTTCAAACCCCAGTACTGCCAAAAAAAAAAAAAAAAGCCAAGCACCATACTCAAGGTATAGGCCCTGAGTTCAAGCCCCAGCACTGAAAAAAATATAAATAAATAAATAGTTTTTCTGAGGTGGGCTGACAATGTAGTTCAGTGGTAGAGTACTTGCCTACCAAGCAGGAAGCCTGGGCTCAATCCCTAGTAACAAACACTTGCTAAGAAGTGGTCTGTAGCAGTGGTTTGGTTTTTTTTTTGGCAGTACTGGGGTTTGAACTCAGGGTCTTCACGTTAAGCCACTTCACCAGTCCTTTTTTGTAATGGGTTTTTTCCTAATAAATTCTTTTTTTGAGGGGGGAGCACTGGAATTTGAACTCAAGGCTTCCTGCATGCAAAGCAGGCACTCTATCCCTTGAACCACACCCCCTGTGATGGGTTTTTTCAAGATAGGGTCTCACATAACTATTTACACAGGCTGGTTTCAAACCTCAATCCTCCTGATCTCTGCCTCCTGAGTAGCTAGGATTATAGACGTGAGCCACTGGCGCCCAGCTGTAGCAGTGTTCTGAGGAACTGACAAATAAAGCAATGGGAAAGGTCTAAGCATGAAAGACAACCATGAATCTCCATTGACCATCATCCTGAGATTCTCCATGACGTCCTCTCCTGTGTAAGAGCGTAAGGTGGCAGACAGCAGAATTTATCTTAAGGCAAGAAGTTCTGATAGCTGCAAAACCTCAACTTAAGGGCTGGGGGTGTGGCAAGTGCTAGGGCACCTACCTAGTAAGCTTGACACCCTAAGTTCAAACCCTAGGACCCACCAGGAAAAAAAAAAAAATCAACCTTAAATAAGACAAAGCTGCCTGAGTTTAAAGTTATTACAACTTTACTGGCAACATCAGGTCTATCTCCTAAATTAGGTCAGATCATCAGGCTCAGCCTTAATAAACAGCACCTGCATACTTGTGAAAAAGAGCTGTGAGATCACATGAAAGTTGAGCTGTGACTCTCATGACCCACAAGCTCTGAGACCCATCATTACTTAGTACAGCTCCTGTATGAGAAGGGGAGGGAAGGAAAAACCTCAGGCTGGGGTTCTTCTCTTTTGAAATCTTACCCTTTCTATCCAAGATAGTTATCAGAGACTGGAGGGTCACTTATTCCAGTTACTAGGTCTAGCCTGTTCTTGCTGGGACCCCTGCACCCCACCAAGGTTAACAAGCAATTTCAGAGTAGAGGGGGATAGTGAATAAGTAACAGCTCAAAAAAAAATTCTAGGTATGGCTTCCTATCACAGGAAGAAATCTCTGCTCAATCAACAGAGACTAGAGGTAAGAGAAGTCAGGCAGTAGGTAGCCAATGCAAACTGACAGGAACCACAGGATAAAAGGAACCCATCCTTACTAGCTAACTTTGGGCTCATCTTGAGTAAGATACTTAGAGCCTCTCTAAACCCTGGTTTTCTCTCTTTTTTTTTTTGTGGTACTGGGGCTTGAACTCAGGACCTACACCTTAAGCCGCTCTATCAGACTTGTTTTGTGAAGGGTTTTTCAAGATACGGTCTCATGAACTATTTGCCTAGGCTGGCTTCGAACTGTGATCCTCCTGATCTCTGCCTCCTGAGTAGCTAGGACAGGAATAAGCCACTGGCGCCTGGCTAAAACCCTGGTTTTCTTATCTGAAAAACAGGGATAATGCCTATATCACAAGATTGTGCTAAGAATTAAATATCTATGTGAAAACACCTGGCATTCAGTGTTAGCTGAATTAGAATCTATTCAATTTATGGAGAAACTCAGCAACTGCTTCTAATGGCATGTCTTTTAAGACTCCTGAAAACTATTCCCCTACCAGAGGGCATGGTTAAGTGCTTGACCAGGCTGAAAGGCTTCCTTTCCTATTTACCCTCTGTAAACTTTTGCCTTCTAAGACAGGAAGAGGGGAGAGGAGAGAAGGCCTGACTGATGGACCCTGTACCAAGATCCTGCAAAGCTGACTACACATTTCTATGTGTTGGCTGAGTCTCTGGCTGTGATTTAACACTCGAGAGACCTTGGATTGAACAGTTTCTTTAGACCCCTCCCTGATGTTCTACGCTCTGTTCAGAGGCCTGAGTTAATTCCATGGGTCACTGCCCAGTCAAGGAGAAAAGGGGCCTCTTAAAACAGGGAGGCCCAGCTAAGAATGTAGAAAGTGGGAGAGACTGGAATATGGATGAGTGGATAAACTCAATGAAGAAAGAAATGTGACAGATAGTCCATTCCAGGCAACAGAAGTACAGAAGACACTGCTCTTCCTGAACTATAGAAATTACTGTCCAAACAGGATGGGAGAATTAATTACAAATGATTTAGTGTTACAAAAGAACCATGTCTCCTCAAAGAGGGCCACAGGAAACCAGATTTCTACAACTGAGTAATTGTGCCCCTCTTCCCCCAGTCTCTGGAAGCCCTTAGTAAAAATGAAATCATATATGCCGCTGCCAACAATTGCTGGCAGAATGGCTCTGTTCAGAATAAGCTCTCTATGACAGCACCTCAGAGAGCTGAGTAAATATTTATCATCTCCAGGAGCTCCTGAACTAATTTTTCTAGTACTAAAACTACCTGACCATGACAACAGCAGTAGATGGACTAGGGGAGGAAAAGGGGAGGCCTTTCTATTTGCCAGTATACACTGAAGCTGAAGACTGAAGTTGAAAACTCCATCCAATTAGAGGGATCTTTCTAACCTCTCCATTTTCCCTCCTCAGCCAGGTGAATATACAGCCTGGTAAAAAGTACATATTACTCCTTTATGGGAAGTTGGTGGCTTTGAAGAACTAAGTTCTACTGTCTTCAGAAAAGGAAGACATGATCACAATCCCCAAAGACTCACATCAGTAAGGAGTTACTGCAGATGCTGAATACCAAATGCAGCTAGCCTTCCTCCTAACCATGCATATGGACAGCTGACTTAAGGGACCTGAGCAGCTCAAATTTTTGGAATCCTCTCAAGGACCTGGGCCAATCTCCTATATATTCTGAGGGATGACCTATGCTCCACAACCAACGTTCACTTGTATGTGAAATAATAATTTGAGGGAAAAAAAATTAGAAATGACTCAAAACCCATTCCCTGGAGATTCCTCAGATAGGATACAAATTATTCCTCTCAGGGAACATAGCAGGGACACACCTCCAACCAAGTGCAACCCTAAGATCTACCCAGTTTCAAGAAAGCGTTCAGCCCGACTTCAAAGTGACTGGTCCCTCCTTGACAAAGGAATAACCAGGAGCTGTGAAGGCTCATGAGACTAGGAACTACATGTTCTAAACTCCTCCAGTCTCTGGCACTATTTTTATCTCACTGCCCCCCAAATGGGATGGGGAAAGGCAAAACTCCTTCCTTCAAAGGAAAGGATGGGGCCAAGACAAAAAGGATAAAACAAATGGTCCCTAGGGTAAAAGAGTCACAACTCCTGCCCCGATGTTCCTGACCAATGTTTCATTCTCCAGATCTCTAAAGTTCCTTTTATTAATCACACCAACTATAATGATCCCTGCCGCTTCACTCCTCTAATGTGTTTTTCTGAAATCTTCTTGTAGGTGTATTAGCTCAAGTCTTTAGATAATAAGCTCTGGAAGGCAGAATTTTCATCTCACCATCCTATTTTCCTATTAGACTCAACACACAGTAACCATATACAGTCAGAGAGCTAACCTGTGTTCCTGGGCAATAGGCAGGTCTGGGATGGAAAATTACCAAGCCAGAACAAGCAGAGTCAGTCAGTCAACACCAGGGTTTGATAACTTTTGTGTGCAGAGATCTGTACAGAGATCCAGAGGAGGAAGGCAGTCTTGCTCTTAGAGACACCCTGGACTAGTGGGGATAACAGACACACACCCATGGCGGAAAAATAGTGTGGTAAGGCTTGCTGGAAAATTCAAATGCAAAGGACAAAGGGCGAAAAAGGAAAATGTAGTGTGAGGAGCTTGAGACATTCCAGCAAACATCTACACTATGAAGAGTTCAGGAAAAGAAAAAAAATGAACAGAAAGGAACAGAAAAAGACTGACACTCTATCCCTGTTTTCCCTAGCAACAGTTGAAAGTTCATTCTCAGACAATCTAAAAAAGCGAGAAAATAAATGCTTCCTCTTTTTTGTGGTCTCTTCCTGCCATATCATTTCATTTACTTCTCAGAAAAAAAACAGGATTCTGTACTACCCTGTGGTACAAATTAAATCAGAGGCATGATGACCCCAGTAGGAATCAGGATGGCAAATCAACAGATTTCCATCCAACCCCTGGAGTCTTCTCCTTTGCATCTAAACTGGTGAAGGGATCAAAGGCTATCAACTATTAACTTTCTACAACCCTAGAGTTCTTGTGCTAGACCACAGGACTTTATACTTTTTGACAATGAAAATGGCCATTTCTATAAAAAAAGTGATTAATGTGCAGGATGTAGTGGCCCAGGCTGGAATCAAGCTTACTATTCATTCTCCTGCCTCATCCTAATGAGTACTGGGATTACAGATGTACGCCACCACACTCAGCAGACAATATATTATTTTTAGAAGTATTGTTTACATTCTTAATTAGTTGATAAAAACAGAAATAACAGAAAGCAAACTTTGCCGGGCATAGTGACTCATACCTGTAAGCGCAGCCACACAGGAGGCAGAGATCAGGAGGACTAGTTTTTCAAGACCAGACTAGGCAAAGACTCTACCTCAAAAAATAAGCTGGTAGCCAGCTATCAGTGGCTCACACCTATAATCCTAGCAACTTGGGAGGGTGAGATCAGTAAGTTCAAGGCCAGTCCAGGCAAATAGCTGGAGAGACTTTATTTCCAAAATAACCAGACCAGGGCTGGTGGAGTAGCTCAAGTGGTAAGTGGTAGAGTGCCTGCCTAGCAAGCGTGAGGCCCTGAGTTCAAACCCCAGTCACACCAAAACAAAACAAACAAACATCAACAACAGCAAAAAAAACCAAAACACCAAATAAGCTGGGGGTGGTAGCATGCACCTGTGGTAGGGGGAAGCTATAGGTAGGAGGATTGTGGTCCAAGACAGAATGAGGAAAAAAAGCATGGACAAAAAAAAAAAACCCCAAAACAAGATCCAATCTAAAAAATAATCTAAAAGTAAAAAGGGCTGGAGGCATAACTAAAGGAGCAGAGCACCTGCCTAGCAAGTGCAAGGCCCTGAGTTCAAAACCCCAGCACCTCCAAAACAACAACAAAAAAAACTTGACCATGGGACCAGTGGCTCATGCCTCTAATCCTAGCTGGGAAGCTGAGCTCAGGAAGACTGTCGTTGGAGGTCAGTCACAGGCAAATAGGTCACAAGATCCCATCTCCAAAACATAACCAGAGCAAAATGGACTGGAGGTGTGGCAAGCTATACAGTACCTGCTTTGCAAGCATGAAGCAGTCCCACCAAAAAAACCCAAAAAAACAAAACTTCCTTTAGGGCTGGTGGAAGCGGGCTGTTAGAGCGGCTCAAGTGGTAGAGGGCCTGCCTAGCAAGTGTGAAGCCCTGAATTCAAACCCCCCAGTACCACAAAAAAAAAAAAATTATGAGGGGAAAATATGATGGAAAGCAATTCTGTGCATAGACATTTGCTGGTAGATAACCCACAAAGTTGTTATCCAGTCACCTTTTAGTAAACATAGTTCATTTTTGCATATATGTTCCACCATCTTGTATATGATTTAAACATTTTTTCAAATAAACAATGAGTTTCTCCAATCTGCCTGCCCATCATCTAATATCTGATAAGGGCTGTGACCAAGAGGCAGAGAAGGGTCAGGACCTGTTAATTTACTCACCCTGACCCTGGAAAACCAGAGTTAAATGTCTTAGGCTTTTTAAACAGTTCTGCACTCATGCCTCAGTTCTGGGACTCATATCTAAACCTTCTTGAATGTAAGCAGTGGAAAGGGACACACGATCAACTCTGGAAGATCAGGGATAGGGACAAGAACAAGTGGGGGAGGGAGGGGGCAGCGACAACAATCAAATCCCCCAAAGTTCCCATCCAGGTGCTTGGCACTCAATCCATGCTCTTTTTTGTGTGTGCTGTTTCTGAAGCTAGTTCTCTATGTCCCATTCACCAGCTCACCCCACTCCCTTGGCTGATGCTACCGATCTAAGCACTACTCACTTAATTCCTTAAGTCTTCACTCATTCTTAGTGCTTAGGTAAAATTACTGGCAGTTGGCTGTGTCTAAACGAAGTCAATAATACAATCTAACAGGACGGTACTAAGGTCTGCTATAAGCTCCAAACAGTCCTCAGACAACAACACGTACATCTTACTTCTCAACTCAACGTATGTCCTAATTCTGGAATAGGGTGGATCCTGAAGACAGCTATGGTGTGTATGTGAAAGGAATGCAAACAAATAAATCTGTCAAATCTGGATGCTATATTCCTTCTGTAACCAACATCCCACCCCACACACCCCATTTTCATACTAGTGGCTGCTGTTACTATGACAACCTATCCAGGAAATTGGCCCACACTTCTTTCAGGAGCAGGAAGCTACAGCAGTGTTTGTATTGCCTTAGGAAAATCTTCAAGGCCTGTCTCCCACCCCCACCCCCTATCTGCTCCAGTATCCCTCCTCAACCCAATTTCTTAACTCCCTTCCCCAACCCCCACACCTACCTCCTCTAACTCATCCTTGGCATCCAAACTGGTTGAAAGTAGCAGCCTCCCCCCTCCTGGGGCTCCTGCTCCCGCTCCTCCTCCTCCACCTCCCGCTGCTCCCGGAGCAGCTGCTGCTGCTGCTCCCTTTCCCTTCGGTAACTCCATGGCTACAGCCAGGAGACAGGAAAAGGTCAGGGAGTGGATAGGTGGAAAGACCTAGGTATGGGGAACTCTGGGGTGCCAGGGACCAGGTGCAAGAGGAACGAGTGGGGGAGGGGAGGGCGCGGGCTGCTAGCCTCTGCACCCCTCCCTCCTCTGCAAAAGGTCGCGCCTGCGGAGCGGCAAAGGCGACTAGTCCTCTAGGTGCTGCCTCTCGAGTGGCGGTGCCGAGGCAAAGCCGTTAGCTCGGAAGTACGGTAGAGTAAGGATCTGTGCCCCTGAGGAAAGGGAGGCGAAGCTTTCGCCCCTCTAGAAGTGGAAGGGGAGCCCTTTCTGGCTTCTGACCCTAAGAGAAAGAGGAAAAACCCTAAGTTTCTGTCTCTGGAGGGGAAAGGGGGGAGAGGAGTCCTGCTTCTGAAGTGGGGGGGTAGGAAGCCTTCCCGGCTAATGCTCTAAGGGTTGGGGATTGAGGCTTCTTTGGATCCAGCCCTAGGGGGTGAGGGTGAGGCAGTAGCGCTATAGGAGCACACGGAGGACCAGCTTCTCCCCACACCACACAGAGGCGGCCATGGTGGAAGGGCGGGGGGTAGGAGGGCTGAGGGAGACGGAGGAAGGAGGAGTCGTCGCGGCCCGCTCCGGAAGTGAGCAGTCGCGGTCCCGGGCATCCGCCAATAGTGGCTTCCGCAGTGGCGCTGGGAGGCCAAGGAGTAAGCGGATGACTGCAGACTGCCCTTCTCCCCGGTAGCCAATTGTATTGAGGAGAAGCAAGCCTAGTCTGATGGACAAGCAGTTTGCCCAATCGCATCTCTCCTCTGCGCTCAAGGGGCGTGACGACTAAGGTGGGTGTGCGAGGCCATCAGGAAGAAAACGGACTGCGCCTGCGCACACCAAGGTGCATGCGCCATATCTCCTTCCGCCCTATTTCCTTCCTCCTACAGCCTGGGTGGATGCTTGTTCGGGCGCTGTCCCTGGGTAGTCTGAGGAGACACAATTTGGCAGTGCAGGGAAGGAAGCAGTGTGCCAACCCTTAGGCAGTACCAGAGCAAACGTCATCAGATGAGCCAGCTCCCTCACCTGAGCAAGTGTGTGCGCTCATGCCTGTGCAACTATCAGACTTTGCAAAAAAAAAAAAAAAAAAAGGTGCATTGGCCTCTAGTGCAAACCAAATCATTAAATAGAAATTTGTTAACACTAGGGGGTGTGGCTCAGATGGTAGAGCGCCTGCTTTGCCTGAGTTCAAATCCCAGTCCTACCACACACACAAAAAAGAAATTTGTCAACACTAGCTCCAACTATAACTTATTTCCCAACCAAAGTACAAGTTTTAAAAAGGGGGGAAGTAAACTTTCTTACAAAAACATTTTTAACGTTAGCACAGTGGCTGATGCCTGTAATCCCAGCTACTGAAGAGGTGCAGCTCAGGAGGATAGTGGTTTGAGGGCAGTCTGAGGAAAAAGTGAGATCCCATTTCAACCAATAAGGTGGGTGTGGTATGTGCGCCTGTCATCCCAGCTACAAAGGAGGCATAAATAGAACGATCATGGTCCAGGCCCACCCAGACAAAAACTAAAGCAAAAAAAAAAAAAAAAAAAGTCCCTGAAGCAGTAGTAAATACACTGGAACAGACAGGTACAGAGAACGACTTCCTAAACAGAACTCAAAAGGCTCAGCATCAAAGAGAAAGAATGAACAAATGGGACTTCATCAAACTGAAGAGCTTCTGCACAGCAAGGGAAATAGTCATCAGACTCAAGAGACAGCCCACAAAATGAGAGAAAATCTTTGCCAGCTACTCATCCGATAAAGGACTAATATCCAGAATCTACAGGGAACTCAAAAACTCAACCCCCAAAGAATCAACACCACAATGAAGAAATGGGGACATGAATTAAACAAGGAATTCTCAGAGGAAGAGATACAAGTGGCCAGTAAATACATGAACAAGTGCTCAACTTCCTTGGTTATGAAAGAGATGCAAATCAAAACAATACTTAGATTTCATCTCACCCATTAGAATAGCCATATGCAAGGGCAATAATGACAACATGTTGGCAAACATGTTTGCATTGGTGGGAATGCAAATTAGTACAACCACTATGGAAAGCAGTATGGAGATTCCTCAAAAAGCTAAAGCTAGAACTGCCATATGATCCAGTGATATTGATCCTGGGAATCTACCCAAAGGAATGTAAGACAGAATACAGTAGAGACACCGGTACACCGATGTTCATCACAGCACTATTCACAATGGCCAAGCTTTGGAAATAGCCCAGGTGCCCTACAACTGATGAACAGATTAAGAAAATGTGGTATATATATACAATGGAGTATTACTCAGTCATAAGGAATAGTGACATGGTTTGAAGGTAAATGGACGCAATTGGAGGACATCATGTTAAGTGAAGTAAGCCAGGCTCAAAAAACACAAAAGTTCCCTGGACGTGGCTGAGCAAGAGGCACCATCATGGGAGTCGACATCCGCCACAACAAGGACCAAAAGTTTAGGCGCAAGGAGCCCAAGAGCCAGGACATTTACCTGAGGCTGTTGGTGAATTGTACAGGTTCCTGGCTAGACGGACCAACTCCACCTTCAACCAGGTTGTGCTGAAGAGGTTGTTCATGAGTCGGACCAACCGGCCGCCTCTCTCCCTCTCCTGGATGGATCCGCAAGATGAAGCTTCCTGGCCGCGAGAACAAGACAGCTGTAGTGGTGGGGACCGGCACCGATGGTGCCCAAGCTGAAGGTGTGTGCACTGCGTGTAAGCAGCCGGGCCACAGCCGCATCCTCAAGGCTGGGGGCAAGATTCTTACCTTTGACCAGCTGGCTCTGGACTCCCCCAAGGGCCGCGGCACCATCGTGCTCTCTGGTCCCCGCAAGGGCCGGGAGGTATACCGGCATTTTGGCAAGGCCCCAGGAACCCCACACAGCCACACCAAACCCTGTGTCCGCTCCAAGGGCCGGAAGTTCAAGCGAGCCAGAGGCCGACATGCCAGCCGAGGCTACAAAAACTAACCCCAGAACTTATCCCATTATTCATGATTTTGGAAGCCCCCCCCCCACAAAAACCCACAGAAGTTGCAGGTTTTCTTTCATATGTATGTAGAAGATAAATGCAAAGATAAACATATGCAAAAGCCAAGCATGATCATATACAAACTCAGATGTAGAACATGTTTGTAATAGTGGAACTACTCTATGAATCTTGGGAAAGAGGGAAAGTAAAAGAGAATGATAGCGCATCAGTAATATTGCATAAGATGTGAAGGTATGGATATAAGGATGTGTATTGAAAGCTGTTGAAAAATGGGGGATGGGAGGTAAAGGGGTAAGGGAGAGCAATGGAAGGAGTTGAATGAACCAAAGTAAAGTATACCCCATAGTGGACATACATTGAGACACCTCTTTGAATATCAACTTAAATATTAATAATGAAAAACAGGACTGTAAAAATAGGTACAGTGTGTAGGGGGAATACTAGTAGGAGGGAGGAGGGTGAATGAAGAAGATTAAGGCAATGGTATATGGTAGATGGACTTCATGTACCTATTATGAAACAGAGCTAAGAAACCTCTTGCAATTGTTTTAAGTGGAGTGGGAAGGGAGTTGAGGAGGAGAGCTGATGGGGGCAATGTAAAATGTACAATATAAATCTAATCAGAGTTGTCACTATGAATCCCCCCTGTGTAATGAACATATCCTAATAAAAAATTTTAAAAAACTATACTTAATTATGGCTAAATTCACAGTGTATGTAAGCAGTTCCTGGGTAATGTACCAGAAGGTGAGTTTCATTTAAACAAGAGATGACTGAAGAATTTAAAGCAGGGGCTGGGGGATGCACTTATTAGCACAGGTAGATGAGCACCAACTAAAATGATAATGAAGGTACATAGAATTTTTGTTTTGAGATTAATATATGCTATGTTGAATTCATCTTTTTTTTGTATACCTTATGTACTGTATTCAAATTATTATGTGAATTTAATTGGGTTACCTGAATTGAATTGGGAGCTTTAGTGTATTAAAATATATTCCATTCAAAAAATAATAAGGCACAAATGGCACGTGCCTGTAGTACAGCTATACAGCAAAGGGAAGAAGGAATATCAATTGATTCCAAGAGTTTGAGGTCTGAACAGCGTAATGAGAGCCCCCTCTTGAAAAGAAAAAAGATGGGGCAGGGGTATAGTTCAGTGGAAGAGCCCTGGCTTAGCATGTTGGGGACCAAACAACCCTTCAAAAAAGAGTCATGGATAAATGAAAGCATTTCTCCTGTAAAAGCTGATAACATCTTTCTCTAACTCAAAGCACCTATTTTTGTAACACATGTTGAAATCTTAAATAATCTAATAAATTAAGGTAAATAGGCATTTTAGAATGGTTGATTTACTGATTCATTATTAGAAAAGCTTCTGTAAGCTCTACATTATCTTCACAATTAATTTACCTATGTCAGTGTCATCATTAGCTTCCAGCAACATGAGGGAAATCAAATTAGACCACCCCAAAATACACTTCTTTAGCATATTTCGAGATGGTTATTCAGAGGGGCTGGAGACATGGGATAGCTCTGAAAAGCTATTCTTTTGTTGGAGGAGATTACTTATGTAGTAGAAGTAAACAGCAAGGCAAGCAGGCTTTCTCTGGGAATCTTTCCTTTTTCTATCTAGGAAAGATCCTTCAATGGGAAGAAGAGATTGGGGTCTGACCCCTGCCCAGACAGAGATTACCACAGGCAGCCTTCTGATGACTGTCACCAGGGAGACTTTATCTGCAACCTTAAAGACAACCTTTGTTCCATGCATTTTCCACCCCTCACCCTCCCATAACCTGTTACTACCTCATACCAAGAGTCCTAAATTTATATTTGTAGGGTATATAAATTTCAACTCATGTTTCTTTCCTCCCTCCTTCCCTCCTTCCCACCTTCCCTCCTTCCTTCCTTCCCTCCCTCCCTCCCTGCCTCCCTCTCTCCTTCCTTCCTTCCGTGCTAGGCAAGCTCTCTACTACTGAATTACATTCCCAGCCCCTGTTTTTTGTTGCTGTTGTTGTAGTACTGGAGTTGAACTCAGAACCTCACACTTCAGAGGAAAAAGAGAAAATTTGAAACTTCCTTACAAACTCAACTGCTGAAGCTTATTTTTGATATTCATCCTTTTTTTCCTCCAAGATTCAATGAATAACGTCTTCTTGACTTTTTGGTGTTAGGGGTTGAACCCAGGGCCCTAGGCATGCTAAACATGCTAAACACATGCTGTACCACTGAACTGAACTACATGTCTTTGGCATCTCTTGACTTTTTTATTAGAAATGTCGCTGGAGGCTGGTGGAATGCTCAAGCAGTAGAGTGCCTGCCTAGCAAGCATGAGGTCCTGAATTCAAACCCCAGTGCCACAAAAAAAAAAAAAAATATATATATATATATATATATATGTATATATACACATACATATATATATTGTCAACCTAGGCTGGTGGAGTGGCTCAAGTGGTAGGGCTTCTGCTTAGCAATTGTGAAACCCTGAGTTCAGACCCCAGTACCACCAAAAAAAAGGAAAAAAGA